TCATCCCTGCTAGCTGCCTTGCTTCCCCCGCTAGGAACAAATTTATGGTTGCAGCACTCTCACAGTCGCACCTAAGTGGGCCAGGTGGCTCAGGCTTGTGTGACTGTGACAGATGGCCTTCAAGCCAACACTGTCGAGCTCTCTTAAACCGCTATTGCAACAAGGATTCTCCCGTTTCTCTCCTGAAATTGAACATGCTGAGAGGACTGGCACACAACTACTCGTACTTCTGCGGCATCTGCAACGATCTCGCAATCGGGAAAGAAACGTACGCTTCTTGTGCAGCCTGCACTATCTCGGGTGGTGGACGCTGTACTGCCTGTGAGCAACTCGTGCTGCTCGACAAGAAGATAAAAGACACATTTAATGTACTTCAGCAACTCCAATCAGCTGCCTTTGAGCTCAAGTCCTAGCAGAATTGCCAGCACGACCATCTTGTGAACCACCTTCCCACTGAACTACTCGCAAGAGTCTTCATGCATTTCCTCCCGCACATCCCTGCTCCTGCGGTCTCAACATTCTTTTCACCCCTTACCATCAAGCAGAAGAGTATAGGTTGGGGGCACATGGAAGCCGTTGGACCTTGTCTATGGTCTGCCGTGCATGGCGCAATGTTATCCGTGCAACACCCCAAATGTGGACCTCTATCGCCGTCAACATGGAGCGAAGCGACACGGGTTACCCTGAATTCATAAACTCCCAGTTTCTACGGTCTGGGGGATTACCACTATTGGTCGAAGTTTTCTCATATCCACCGCCCTATAGATCCCTTGAGAATCCGCCTGTCATGCGTCTCTTCAAGATTGTCAATGCTCATTCCAACAGATGGAACTGTTTGGAGACATGCCTCCACCCGGGCATTCTACAGTACCTGCATGGAAATCCTGAAACACATACCTCGCTGTTGGAACACATACTCGTCAAACGATACGGCTCCAGCTCCGCATATCACGTACAAGATGAGTTCGGCATGCTGAATTCGAACCCCAGCCCTACTACTGTGCACCTTGGTGATCTGTCATTCGGTTCGATCAGGATCTCATGGCACCGTGTTACTCACGTGGAAATATCGTCCTTAAGCTTCGACCTCGACTCCTACCTGGCGCTGTTTGCCAGTGCCCAGGTGATGACCCACCTCACCGTCCAGAAACTTTGGTTTCCTCACGATGCGTTAACCTCGACACCCGTGGTACCTATCGAGCACACCACCCTCCGAGCACTCAAGATCTATGAATGCGGGCTTGCACTAAACCCTCTCCTCCGTGCTCTCAAATTGCCGTGTCTGGAAGAAATATTCATCGACTACGATTATTTTGCCCCCCTCACCGACCTCATCACTCGCTCTAATTGTCATCTGAAGCGTCTGACGTTAGCGATGTCTAGGAATAGCAACATGCCCGAGGACACCAAGATCGACCTACTACGCTTGCTAGAGCATACGCCCTCATTAGTCGCATTGATGATCCAGGATTTTCGCCACACTAATCTGCTAGTTGACTGCCTGGAGCCGCATAGTCAAGGAGGGAGTCCCACTTTCCCAGATGCCTTCACTCATGAACCAGAACTTCTGCCCCTTCTCCATACCCTCGTCATTCGCATGTCTCATGGCCTTGAGTGGCACTCTACTTGCATTCCTAACTGGGTTCCGGCTCCAGTCGTCGAGCTCTGAAGGACTTTGAATTCAAGATTTATGGTTTAAGGGGTCCCCCCCCCACTTCACAGCGGTAATCCTTCAGCTAATTGGTCGCATCAAACTGCCTAGTTGAGGAGCCAGTCCTGATTTCCTCCATGCATGCATTTGCACATAAAGCAGAATTTTCGCCTCTCCTCCACACCCTCCTCATCCTCATCCACGACTTGCCCCTTATTTTTCCTGAATGGGACTCCGTAACTTCTGCGTCTGTTATCTTCATGCCTATAGACTTTACACACCTTCGCGTCCCATCATTTTTCTTCTCCGTTTTAAGTGTTCTTCCTTATTTGAACTGGTGCTCTTTTCTCCTCTACTTTTCTCCTTCCTTTCTTTCATTAACTTCGTCTTTTATGAGATATCAGTTGGCTCGTTGGCTGAGTGCGGGGTCCACATCTAAGTATTTCCAGTATAACCCTCGGCTACAGTGTTCCAGAACCGCATGTCTGCTCATTTCGTCTCAGCCTCGCTCAGCCCTTGATGGAGGGGGTCTGATAGGTCAGGTGATCTTTCGGGCCAGCCTTGCATATCTTAGCGCTCGTCATCGTCAACATCGTGTAGGAGTAATTAAGTATTAGAACTGCTGTAATAGTCATTATTCACCATATTTCATGCTAATATGAGCTCTACTGCAGGTTTTCAGGTGCACATATTCATGAATGAGATGCTCTTGTAATTATTATGCCCCAGTCAGCTCTCGCCAAGATGACCGAGCTTGAATCTTCGAGGCTCGTTTCTCAGATACTTACTGGTACATTTTCTCATTGGAAATGTGTATAAGCTAGTTCCTTTCCTGAAAGGGTTGCTGAGAGTACCAATATTCACTGATCATTCCACCAGCATTTGCCATTTCAGATTAGATAACACATACTTAGATGGGCAAGCAATGTGAGCCGCCAAAGGCAGCAATTTTCTCTAGTATCAAATTATGTATAATAACGCTACGCAAAGGGTCTGGGTATTAGGATGCATATAAGGAGCTTTCCAGAGTCAGCCTCTCCGAGTTTTCTGGACTCAATCCTTCTCCAACGGCACAGAAGCGCTGGATGTGCCACCCTTTCCAGATTGAGACCATCGGTGAGTCATCCACCTCATCGCCTCAAATTCCCTTACAATCTTTGGTCGTCCTTGCTCATTTTCTGTTGTTCTTGTGTTTTTTGTCCGTTCAACCATGGTACTGCTGCTGGAAAGAGCTCGCCTGCTGGACCACTCTTTGCTTAGTGCAGTTTCTATCATGTATTCTCCCCCTCGAAGTCTGAAGAACTCATTCAGACAGTTGTTGTTAAAATAGACAACACATTTTGACAATGGGGGGATACATTTGCTAGGCAAATGGATGTTGACTATGGTACAAAATGGCTACTTAAATACTTAAATACTGTACATAGTAAAATGGAGCCCAATGTCCAACTAAAATGATAAGATAAAATGTAACATACGAAACGGTAGCGGGGCGCGCATTGCGAATGCTGGCACAGCCTCATGATATTCCAACAGTTGTTCCTTGGAGTGTCGTTACCTGATTTTCTCGAGCTGTCACATTTTCAGCCCCTGTCTATGTTTAGCACCGAGAGTACCAGTCGCTTCACCTTGTGTATTGTGTTCCTGTCCTATGCCTGTGCCTGGTAAATTCAAGTTGGATGTTCTCCAAGGTTAAAGCTGCATTTGAACTTGTCCTTGCATTTCACATTTCTGAATCTGCTTAATAAGTTGGCAGCAGCCTTCGAGCTCAGACAGAAAATTGATGTGTCTATTGACGAGGGAGCCCTTTTCTTGGAGGATAAAATATGTCTTGCATATGTATTCCATGCCATCTTATGCGGTCGTCTTAATGTATGAATATCATAGCTGTACTAACACTTACCTAGTGAACGATCTTGAATATGAGAATCAATATTCAGGCTGGTACAGCTGAGTTTGAATTCCCATAGCGTTCAGGTCGCACGGCTTCTACCCTGTATAGCATGCGTGAATCTGACTGACCCTAAACTCCCAGGTCACGTTCTGGTCAACAAAGTGTGTCGCGAGCCCCTAACGACATGTCGCTCTATCTTGGACACCTGTTCTGTCCTTCTCTGACACCGCTTTCTCCAAAATTACTGAATGTGCTGGTGCTGGACTCTCTGGAGATTCTTGAGATATGAAAGCTCTCTCCAGAACTGCTACCGCACACCTATTCAACCTTAATTCCGAAGCACTGGCAACCCGTGTCTGACACCTTCTAGTCGAGATTAAATGAGAAGTCAAGTTTATGGTTGCTCCCTTGATAGAGCTCGGAATGATATGTGAAATGTTCTGGCTTGAACTTGCTGAGGATATCAATGAGCAAGTCGAAAGGACTCATTCTATTCTCTTTCAACAATGCTCAGCACGCAGCATTCTGGTTCATGGGGGGGCTTCTGCTTTTGTGACAGAGAGAGGGGATGTAGTTGGGCTAAAATAGATCACATTCAGTATAAATCTCATGGAATACCAAAGAGCCAACTTTAGTTCTTCAGGACCACTGAATTCCCCACCAACAAAATCTGCTCGCTCTACCGTACCCAAGTCCTTCTGAATTCCATTGTCGCATGTGGCGCATGCTTCAGGAGTGGAAGCAGAGAATTTCGAGGCTTTGAAATGGAAGTTCAATTGGTGCCGCTCTGGTTCAGGGTCTCCAAACGTCAAGTGCTCGTCGGTGGTCACGCTGGCTTGGAGTGCTGGAAGTGTTGGCACTGCCTCGCTGAGGGGTGAAAACGAGAGCCCCTGCCCTCTATTGGTAGACATGGTTGGCTTCTTGTGCTTTGTCTTTGTCATCACCTTTGCGAGAATATCGGTAGAGGACTGTGGAGCGAAGTGGAAAGTTGAAACGTCCTCCAAGTCTGAGCCAACCTGGGAGGGTAATGTGACCTTGGCCAGTTACTATATAAGGTAAAAAGCTGTGCAACCTGAATGCCCGTAGCATTCAGGTTGCACAGCTTTTTACCTAATATAGTAACTGGCCGAGGTCACGTTACCCTCCCAGGTTGATGTTTCAACTTTCAACTTTCCGAGTAGCAAGTACTAAGTCCTCCCTTCGCTGAGCGCTCCACAGCCCACTACCGATATTCTTGCAAAGATGACAATGAAGACGAAGCACAAGAAGCGAGCCATGTCTGCACATAGAGGGCAGGGCCTCTTGTTTTCACCCCTCAGCGGTGCTGGCACTTCCAGCACTCCTTCCAGCATGACTTGACATTTGGAAACCCTAAACCAAAGCGACAATAATTCAACTTACATTTTAAGGTCTCAAAATTCTCTGCTTCCACTCCTGAAGCATCCACCCAAGGGGCCGCCTTCTGAGCTGTCCCTGAAAGCAACCCCTCCCATGGCCCCTCCATGGGAAGTGGCTGTGGCATGTCACATCACGGCTGCATCAGAGCACATCACCACGTGCATCGTCTTCAGACGCTCAAGTACATCCATCACCAATATTAATACAGGTGTGCAAGGACAGGAATGGAAAATGGTTCTATAAATAAATGTGATTGTGTAAATTGCGAAATACATTATTCACTACTTATCACTGTGGGGAGGGTTGCCTCGAACTCGAAGAGTATCAGAGCTTCTGAAAATCCAGCAACACTGCGGGCAGATTGGGAACACTGCTGCATTTCTGTGATGAAGTCAAATCTGATTTAGAGGCAAAGAATTATGTATTATGTGTGAACCTCTGATGTCGATGTCACATGCTGAGAGCTTCGACTTGTTGACGGTGTCTACTAGGGGTGCTCTGCTGCAGTTACCGTAGAGGATATCATATAGGGGCAGTATTGGTGCTGTATCTTGACAGTTTCAACACCACAGCTGCCCAAATTTATGCCCAATCTTTGAGGAAAGGCTTTAAATTGAAATATTTTTTGATCCTCTATCAATGAAAGCGTGGTGAGTACTGGATTGCTGTATCTACCTATCTGTATCTTCAAGAGACAAAATATATGTACCAGAGAGTAAATTAACTCAATGTGTTGGAATTCTGCATTCAATAGAGCGCATCATAGGAACGGTGTGCTGTCACCATGGGAATGTAGGCAGTTAATATTTGCATATACTCTTTCCAGGCACTGCGGACAAGCCCCACACATATTTACATTTTACCTATATTGAATTTAAGTAGGATAAAATGGGATTAAACCCTCATGTGATTGCGAGGGTCCCTGTTCTCACCTTGGTAGATGATGTGGACACGTCTATTTTGACACAATTTACATGACCCGTGCAGGTTTTCGAATTATACAAGAGAACCATTGAAGGCTCCAACAGCCTGGCCTCTCCATGAGTGACAAAGCGGTGGGGCAGAGTAGTGGAATGGCCAAGCCATGGAAGTTAATCCATAATCGACTACAAACTTCGTGAAGTTCCTTGTCCAAAAGACTCTAAATGTACGGAATTTAAAGACATTATCTAGTTACAGGGCTTATAGTATTCATGACATTTTGTATTGTTCTCCTACACTGACAGCAATTGCGATGCATTGCGAGAGGTTGTTGCCATTTGGTACATCGCCTCTGAAACAACTAGTAGCCAGGCATACTCAGGCTCAATTTTGAAGCACACCCCAATATATGGGGCATAATTTGACTACAATTCATCTGTGACCTATTGTCCTGCACATCCTCTCACCTATCTACCATTCTCAAAACTAAGATCTTGAAGGATCCTTTTGCCAAGCAAGCGTCTGGAGACAACACATGTGGTGATGTGCTCTGATGTGGCCGTGATGTGACATGCCACAGCCACTTCCCATGGAGGGGCCATGGGAGGGGTTGCTTTCAGGGACAGCTCAGAAGGCGGCCCCTTGCATCCACCACATGCGACAATGGAGTTCAGAGGGACTTGGGTATGATAGAGGCTTTCAGGCCGAGCCAGGCCGGCAAGTCACTAGGTAGAGCAAGCGGATTTTGTTGGTAGGGAATTCAGTAGTCCCGAAGAACTAAAGTCAGCTCTTTTGTATTTATCCTGAATGTGACATATTTCAGCCCAGCCACATCCTCTCTCTGCTGTCTCTCTTCCACGAAAGCAGAAGTGCCCCGCAAATCAGAATGCCGGGTGAGTGCTAAGCATGGCTAATGTGTATGCTGCCATTTCTGGCAAGATTTTTCATATCTCGTAGATTGCCAGAAAGTAAATCCGAGGTAAATTGCATAATATTAACAGAAAAGACACAAGAGAGAGGCAAAGTAGCCATCGGATGTAAAGCGACGCGCTCCTTAGGGGCTCGCGACGCGGGAACGTGATCTGAGTTTAGGGTCGGCGAGATACTATATTGGGTAAAAAGCTGTGCAACCTGAACGCTACGGGGATTCAAACTCAGCTGTACCAGCCTGAATATCGATTCTCATATTCAGGCTGGTCACGAGCCTAAATGTCAATGCCAACGTTCAATATTTCAATGTTCAACGTCAACATCGACACGCCGCTACTTACTCAACTTAAAACCACAACTCCAACAAGGACTTTCCAGTTTTCGCCTGACCAAGCCAAACCCGACATGCAAGGATCGACGCATCACTACATCGAGGAAGAAACTCACACTTCTTGTACAACCTGCACCGTCTCGGGCGGTGGCCGTTGTTCGGCTTGTGAGCAACTCCTGGTACTCTACAAGAAGATAGAAGGCCGATTGAAAGCCCTCCAGCAGCTCCAGATAGCTGTCTTCGAGCTCAAGTCACAACAGAATCGCCAGCACGACCTCCTCGTGAACCGCCTCCCCGCCGAGCTCCTCGTACAGATTTTCACGAAATTACTTCCGCCTCGACCTGGACATCAGCCGTCGACATTCTTTCAGCCGCTTATACGTGACGAAGAGGAACCTGAACCGCCCAGTTGGGCAACAAAATCGGGCCCTTCGACCTTGTCGAGGGTTTGTCGAAGGTGGCGCGATGTTATCCGCTCTACGCCTCAGATGTGGACGTCAATCGTTGTGAATGTAGACCAGGAGGAGAAGGAGTACGCCGAATTCGTAAATGAACAGTTTCTTCGGTCTGGGGCTTTGCCGGTCTGGGTCAAAGTTCACCAACCCTCTCATGGATACACCTCTTCCTCAAGGCAAACCTTGCCCCCGCCCCACACCGTGCGTCTCCTTGATATCGTCAACACCCATTCCGCTCGTTGGAAGAGTTTGAAGATATGTCTTGGGACCAGCATGTTGCAATATGTTTGCGGAAATCCGCAATCTAACTGTCAGCTTTACAACACCTGCAGATAAACCAGCGCTCTTCCGTTTCCACCCTCGACCGCTTCGCCATGGCGCATGCGATGCCTAGTCCGACTACGGTTTGCGTAGACGGCATATCCTTCGCCGCTCTAGGGATCTCATGGGACCGGGTTACGCATGTTGAAGCCTCTGAGTTCCAGATGGGCTGCTGTCTTACACTTTTCCGCGATGCTCAGGCGATGACCCACTTCACCCTCAAGACATTATGGCTCTATGACGATATACCACCTGATTTCTCCATACCCATAGTACACACCGCTCTCCGAGCACTCAAGATTCATGACGGCGGACACGTTGGTCCTCTTCTCGATGCTCTCCAGCTGCCATCTCTGGAAGAAATCTCTGGACGATCACAGCACTGATCCACTTACTGATCTCATTATCCGTTCAGGCTGTCGTCTGAAACGCTTGGCGGTAAAGATGCACGGCGACTTCGACCTGCCCGCAAACAGCGAGAACGAGTTGATACACCTCCTCGAGCATACCCCCTCGTTACTCGCATTGGCCCTTGAGACAACGCTCGTTACTGACCTTCTGTTTCGCCGTCTAGGACCACCTAGTCTCCAAGATAGCGCCACCTTCTCGGGTACCATTGACCAAAGCCCAGCATTCTTGCCCCTCCTTCATACCCTCGCAATCCACGTCTTCATCAACTTCCAGTGGCACTCCGTGGCCAATATGTTCACTACATCCGTTGGATCCTTCGACTCTGCCCGTCGAGCGTTGAAGAACTTCGGACTCAAGATATATGGCGACTTCAGGGATTCACCCCCGCTTCATGGTAGCGACCCCAACGAAATCGAGGAGGATGCTGCCGAGCGACTACTGGTTGTACGAAAAAGTGGAGTCAATGTGACCATTCTTGATGAGCGCGACTGCGACATGTTAGATGCCCCAGATTCCACTTCACCTTCGAGTTCAGCTGAAGGAAATGACTTGTAGCAGCATCTGTTCTCAGGTTTTTGTGTCTATAATGACAATGGAAGAGTTTGATTTACATTCAGAGAGTGCTTGAATGACATGCAAGTCGAAGTTCTGTTGCATTGTCAGTCTTTTTTTGCCGTCCGCCTCTCCCTAATGCCCTTAATACAAGCTCCTCACACATTACTTATTCGTGGTATGTAGTGTGACTGACCTGAAGTTGGTTCAAGTCGGTTCGAAATTCTCTCAAACCGCTACTACCACCAGGCTTCTCCAGTTTCCCAAGCTAATATGAGTGTACGGGAATCGATACATCACTGTGCATCCTCATGCAAGGTATGCAGCAATCTCGCAATCGGGGAAGACACTCACGCTTCCTGCACCTTTTGCACCATTTCCGGCGGTGAAAGTTGCGCTGTCTGTGAGCAACTCAACCTGCTCGACAAGAAGATCAAGGAAACCTTGAATTACCTCCGGCAGCTCCCTTCGAGCTCAAGTCACAACGGAATCGCTAGCATGACCTCCTCATCCCCACCGAGCTGGTCGGACGCATTTTCACAGATTTTCACCCAAGTGCTTCCACTAGGCTGTTTCGCGGCCTTGGACCGCTCGCTCGCTTGGCCTGTCCCACTTCCGCAGATACGAATGACCGAGGCTCAGTGTTCTTAACTCTCCTCCCAACCCTCGTGATCCACGTCTTTATCAACTTCGAATGCTCCTCTGTCGCCAATATGTCCGCCCCTTGTGTCAGACTGCCTAGTTCTGCCCGTCCAGCCTTGAAGGTCTTCGAACTCAAGATTTACGGTGATTTAAGTAAGGGACCCTACGCGACCATGGACAGATGCTCTCATCGTCGATAAGGATGCTGCGACCCGGCTGTTCAAGAAAGTGGAGTGGGTATGAGCGCTCAATCTTGATGAACCTAACTGCGCTTTGTTAGTCGCACCAGATTCTACCTCAACTTCAGATAAGGGAATCGCGTGTAGCAGGCAGACTGTAAATGGCATAGGAGCTAACTGGGAGTATTCCAACAGGCGCCTGGGCGCTGTCCGATTCCTCTGGTGAACACCGAGGGCTTTGCGGCGCCTTCCGGTGCCCATTCGCCCATGTCATACATACGAGCTCGCCGGCGTCTTCTCGTTGGAAGGGTTGGGTCAAGCGCCTCTGCGCCATCAAGTATATCATGGACGTGTGGTCGCTGGAGGAGTTTCAAACACTGCTGTACGTCGTCGTATAATCTACACCATTATGGCGCTGATACGTTGCCACTAGCACTATCTCCAACCTCGATGTGGAGAGAGGTGTAGCCCTCTACAATAAATTTGGGCCAAGCCCAAGGGTTGTTGTAGACATTCTCCGACAAGGAACGACGGAAGAGCGGTACTTTCACGAGATCGAAACAGGAGCCACCATTCTTGCGCGCCAGTTCTTGGTGATGTTTTGCAATGCCGAAAACTTGGATTTCAGCTCCGGTCCTTTATCAAAGATATTCACTGTCAGGCCCAAAAGTTCGAATCGGGAAATCGCTGTTCTGTTTATCCCGACGCCAGTTGTTGCCAGCGCCTTCGGGATGGCTTTTTTTTTCTGGAGCGAGCCCAGCAAGATGCCTTCTTTCGCATGCTCCAAGGCCATCCATCTCTTCGCGGCGCCGTGGGATGGCTCTTCGCGAGTTACGCCCACACCCGCTGCTCTGATTGTGCCTCACTGCAAGCATACTGCGCCGACGATGACACAGACCCGCTCTTCGTTCCTAATCCGAAAACAGGCTCCACCGTGCTCGAGGCCATCCAACCACCTTACAGTTTCTACTGGCGACCTCGAGAACCCAATTTCCCTGGCGTTGATGCTGTAATTCGTGTTGACGACACTGTCTGCGCCCTGCAGTTCACGATAGACGGTGCTCACAGGTCCGCGACAGATGGCCTGGATGCGGTCTTCGAGATCATGAAAGACAAAGATAATGTTCAGTGGCACTTAGTTATAGTAGGTGCACAATGGTACCAGGCGAAATCAGCCCGGGATTCCCAGAATCTGACAGGTCGCTGGGAAACTACGCCGGTTTATGCGTGTGAGCTGCCCCTCAGTAAGCTCACTGAAGACAATAAACAGCGGCTTCGGGATGTTTTTGACGATGTGAGTGTGCATGGTGATCACTGCATTATTGCCCTCATACCCTTCGATGAACGAACAGTCCGACGGAACGTACCCGATCGATCAAAGAGCGACCTCGAACGTGGAGATGTCCTAGCTCAGTTGTCATCGCCGTTTCCCTATTTGTGGCATGTCCCTGTTGTGTCGAGCTTTTCTGATATTCTGAAATCCGAGCTTGTTCTGTCGAGAGTGTAGGGGCGTGAATCCAGAGCTCAAAGCGGTCTCGCGTATTATCAGATAAGGTTTGTAGCCCCTGCATGACTGGTTTGGGACATGAATTTTGGCGGCAGCAACTTGACCGCAAAGCTACGTTAATTCAGGGAGAATTTATTCCATTCAAGCTCAAAGGTCTACTCGGCCATCAGTGACTTTGCCCTCGATTTCTTCATTTCATCATAGGTCCCATACGCACTCGGGAATTCAGCAGCCAATGGTGATGGTATCATAAGGGCCTATGTGGTCCATGGGTGAGCTCGCGAAAATGTTCGGGACAGCTCCAACAATGCATTGGGTGCTCGTGTTATCCTGTCCTTGAAATCAGAGAAGGAATGGATAAGTAGTTATTCTATGAAGTGATCTATGAGGCTTACCCGGGCAGGAGACCCACTGTCCGTTGTCCAGAATGTGAACTTCACCGGACGGGTGATGGTATCCCAAGAAACGACCTGACGTAAAAGCATAAGCGCCAGTATTTGAGAAAGAGATTTAATGTATACCGGGGACGATGGGCACGATATCCTCCCGGTTATTGATGTGTGTCAAAGAAAGGTGGGCATCGACATAGTTTGCGAACGCTTGATTACCAACCTGACAAAAGAAAAGAATTTTATACTCAAAGAAAAGAAAACACGAATGACTTACTCGTGGCATTCCGTATGTAATAACCTGGAAAGAGACGCCAGTGATATGCAGCGGCAGGTAGACGCCATCGAGGAGAGCGAGGGCAGCACCTAAAATCCCCAAATGAGAACTCACGACGAAGTAGAGTAGATAGCACAGCGAAGACCTACCAAGAGAATGTCCAACGATTGTGACTTTCACAGCTGAATGCGCTGAGATCGCAGTCTCCACAGCTGAGCGAATGGTCGCCGCAGTCCTGTCCAAGATTTCTTTAGCTTAATCCAACGGAGATAGAACTGTGGGAAGCGCACCTCGCCTGCGCGTTCGCGAACCCACTATGAACCTTCACGGAGGAGCTTACCCCGGGGAAGAGCGTTGAGTCGAAGTTTTTCATGAATATGTTGACATCTGTTGCGATCGCTCGGCTGTGGCGCACGATGTCGAATTAGCCATTTCAGGTACGGGTAACCGCTAGGGAAAGATAGGGACTTCGTGGCTTACACCTTCGAAAAATCGGTCCCTTGATGCGCGACGATGACGGTCTCCAAAGAAGGTGAATATCCGACGTACCCTGAAGTTTGGAAGGGAATCCCGGATGAGCGCCTTACATGAACAAGAAGGGCTATAAACTCACAAAACTGGACAGAAGCGCCATCGCCTCCTGACGCAGTCGGGATGAAATCAGGGTTGGCATTGCAATTAACTATCCAAACCATAATAGCATCTCGTAATAAGGGGCTTTATAGACGGCAGTGACGTACCTCCACAGCTCCAGTTAATCGTTGTCGAGGGCTTGCAGAACGCTGTGCTCGCGAAATGGGTGTATGGTCTGAATGTCTGAATGGCCGCGGTCGAGAGAGTGGTAATTCCCTGCCGCTTTGAGAGCTTGGCGACTGGTGCTGCGCCAACTGGCGAGGGCACCGCATAGATAAAAAGAGATACAAATGCCGTCTTGAAGAGCATCTCGGGCCGGGTGATTGAGAAAGCAAGAACCAGAGAGCCAAGAGCGTGCCCAGGAAAGATGAGAGTCACCTTTGGGGGTCTTCCGAACCTCCTCTGAACGTCTCCTTATATATGGGAGTCAGTGAAGGTTCCCTGGTAAGATCATCATGATTGAGCGATATTTCTGTACCAGGATGAAGAAGTACACACCTTGTAGCGAGCAAGAAGGAGCTGACGTGTGTTTACTTTATCAAGGTCGAATTCCCGAGTTAATCACGATCCTGCCATGGACCATACGTTCGCCTTGGCGAAACGCGTCGACGCCGGAAGATATCAAGGTAAAGTTCTAAAAATAGCGGTACACCCGGCAACCGACAGGTACCTTTCTAACATGATCGCCCGGTACCTGATTGTAAGGGCAGTGCACAAAAGGTAATTTTAGTTACAATTACCTCGTGTAAGCTTGACACTTCGAGGAAAGTAATGAAGCAAAAATATGTATCGCTTCATGTGACGGAGAGACGTTGCGATTTTCGGTCTTCGGTCGAGGTGGGCAGCCAGGCCGGAGTGAAAATAGGCTCCACCACAACGCCCGCTGCCAGGCGCTGTGTAGGAATCTGTACCGTTCACATAGGTGGCTTCATATGGATTTGGACAACGCATGAGAACATTTTATTGTACAGGAAGAGTAGGTCACATTGACATGAAAACAAAATGATCGACCAGAAGAAGAAATTGGAGGGGCGAGACGTTTCGTAGTATACAGTGGGCGTATTATGCATGTGTTTGTGAATTTGTGAAGCAGTGGTATCGAGTCTGAGGCTGAGTGGTGGCTATACGATGTTGTGTTGTTGCAAGAATAGCTTAGCGTAAAGAGGTCGTGAATGATCGTGGTTTCGAGTATAGAGTTTGATTTAACGCGCAGCGTTGTGCTTCCTCAACAATTTCTTTGATGCGTATGTTAGCATGCGGAGAAAATGTGGGGAATGGGCGTAAAAATACCAAAAGCGCATGCGAATAGAGGTGCGATCCAACTAAGGTGTCCGTCTTTTGTCCGTTCTTAAAGAAAAAGAACGTCGGGAGCTATCCAAACCCGGGGATGAGTGTCAACCTCGACCCGGAAACGGGTTAAATGATGACGGTGCTCTTACCTTTACGATGTTGCAGTAGTGCGATATGTCTGGCTGAACATCGCAATCAATCTTGTAAAACCAAATTTTCGCGAATTCCGGGTCGTCCGCGTACTGGTTGAACAGAGGAATCATTTGTTGGCAAGTCGGCGACCAGGACTCGCAGCAGAACATGACGACGACGGGGTATCTGGAGGTCTGGAGGATATCCCGATACCATCGCGGATTAGAGATCAGTCGGGTGGCTGTACAGCAGTACGAGTTCAGAAGGACTCACAATCTCCTTGTACTGCGCGACTTCCGTCATAGTCCAGACAGGCATGATGTCCCGCGCAATCGGAGCCGACTAACAATAGGTGGTATGCCAACTACGGTGGAGCGAGGCGCTGCTGAGCGAGAGGCGTCGATGGTGGCTGGGAGATAACGCACACACGAAAGCGGGGAAGAAGGCGGGTAGGCACCCACGCTCTCGAATATGTAGCTGCTTACGACATTACGCTATCGGCACCTTGTGCTGCAATTGTTTGTTCCACCCTGGGGGCAAGCTTGCACAACACCTGCTTTATCTCATCACGTGGGAAACCCAATTCGCGTTGTACGACACTGCAGAAGGCTTGTAGAGCGGCGTACTGCAGTGAAGCACGGTAGGTACCAGTCCGGTGACCATGCTGAACCGAGAATGGTATGCGCGAGATGAAAAAACCGAATCGAGAATGCAACGAGGCAAACGGGGGGAAGGTAGATATTAATGTGAAGACGGGGAAGGGTTACGACACACCGTGAATGCGGCCTTTAACCAATTCTCGAAATGGCTGAAAGCGGGGCCGTGCGCCACACATATACAACAGTCCGCCAAGTCCCAAGAGACGATATGTGGTCTTTCAAGTCCATCGGACCTGCTTTATCAGCATGGGCTTCGATCTGATAAGCGCCCGCGGCCAAAAGCGCAGGGAAAATCATTCGAAAATACGAAAAAGACTTGGACCGCCGGCTAAGTCCGCGAAAAGAAGGGATTGTCGCCTGACTTCGATATCGGCCTCATTGCATCACCTAAAAACGTAGATGCAGAGCCTGGTCCACGTCCCCGGTCCTATTCGTATGACAGCGAAGCGCGCTTCTCGAATGCCTTCATCGCCTAGGGTGTGTAGTGGCCATGATATTATGTCAATCTCGAGAATTATAGTAAGATTCGTGTCTTCTGTGACCGTGATCCCATGGCATTGGCAGCGCTGGCCTGGCGGGCGGGCAGTACCAACAAGGATATGCAGAGCTCAGCCACGGGCTTCCATTATGTACACCTGGATGATAAACATTCTCAATTCTATGTACCTGGGTAGCTTGAAGCCTGACTTTCTATCTACGCTGCTCGCGGTGCCTGTCGAGCAATATTTTGGACAGCCCATTTCCGGAGGCGCTGGTGTCGATCTAGCCCCTAAACTGTGGCGGTGCGAGTCCCTTTCGTCTTGCGTAAGCAGCACACACGCTCTCAGCAGTGCCAAGCCCATCTATCCTCCGCAGAGATACGCATTCTGCACCGCCCGCCACCGCCGCCGGTACTGGCAAACTGGTCATAGACCCCCTTTTCATGCTAGACATAATGTTCCTGCTCGCTCCTGGTGCGCGGCTATATGGCTTGGTGTGGGCCAGGCCAGAATGCTGTGTCTCCTCGACTTCTTTCCTTGGACAATTGGTCTTCGATGACTCGAATAGCAGGAAAGACAACAGGATCGGAGGACGAGACATATTACCCGTCCCGAGGCTGATAGTTATTATGGACTGAGCGCTATATAAGGTATCGCACCCGTGATCCACATTTCCATCGCTATCTTTTTCCTCGTCTCTACTCTCATCGATATGTCCTCGAACCCTTCAGATCAGGCGCAGAATCCTCCTGCGGGTAATTACGTGAGTCTTCAAAACGCTCATGCGTTGACGAACTTCAACTGATACCATATTCAGCCTCCTCCGGCTGGCCCACCTCCTGTACGTGAATCTACGACTACTGTCTTGATCTCTTTATTTAATTTACGTCAATTATACTGAACTGCAGACTGGAGAAGCACCGCCCGTAAGTAAAATCTAATCCTCATTATACGCCTAATCGCTCAAACTCACCTCAATCCATCACCCAGGCAGCGCCCGGAGCTCCACCTCCTGCAGGTCAAAACGCGTACGCTCCTCCTGCAGGCTACCCGCCCCCATCCGGCCCTCCAGGCGCGCCATCGGCCTACCCCCCTCCTCCCGGTGCACCTCCAGTACAGTACGGTGGCGCGTACGGCTACTACCCGCCTCCAGGGCAATACTACCCTCCACCTGGCCAGTACCCATACGCACAACCAGGCTACCCAGGCTACCCACCTCCAGGCCAGTACCCGCCCGCTCAATACCCACCGCCCTCTCCTGGAACATCTGGAGCCCCACCAGGGGGCCCTCCACCAGGTAGTCCTGCGCCCGGCGCCACAGGACAGTACCCACCTCCCGCGGGTCCACCTCCAGCCCAATATCCCGGATACTACCCAGGAGCACCAGGGACTCCTCAGCCGCCGTACGGTGCCCCATACGGTGCACCCCAGCCACCCTATGGCGCCCCGTATGGCGCTCCGGGTTATGGAACGCCTGGGTTCCCCCCTGCGCCTGGTGTACCGATCCCTGTACCCGACTACAACCCACACGCAGGGCAGCCTAAGGACCCTCTGATCTATCTAGATGTCGCGATCCCGGACCCGAACATCGAGGCGCCGCCCAAGGGTGCGCAGAAGGTACCTGGGTATGACCCGACAAGCGATTTTAATGCGATAAGGAGATTCAATAAGGATAATTGGACGGATGCCCAGGCGAAGAATTGTGAGTTCTTGTTGTTGTTCTTGATTCTGTGGATGCTTGCTGATGGTGGATGGTGGATAAAGTGACTAAAGTGATTCTGAACCTTATCCCGCTACAGACGGATGCTCTGGGATATCACTGCAAAGGAGAACTGGGGAAGAGTTTGCAGGATATGATTGATGCGTTACCTTTGGGGAATTATGGGTGCGAGCTGTCCTTCATCGACATTTTGGATACCGTTCACTCAACATAACCATAATGTAGACGGGTCCTCCATGCACGCAGCCTTGGTCCGTTAGGATATGACGTCTGGCTTCTAAAGGAAGCGACCCGTAACCTCGGAACGAATGAGATGATCCTCATCGAGCTCATCCTCGGCCGACCTGCACACGAAATTAGGTGGTTGAAGACAGGGTACAAGCTGCGATACGGCAAAGACCTGGTAGATTTGATCAAGAGCGAGCTCAGTGGGACGTTCGAGCAATGTGCGTACTCTTTTGGAGGTTTGTCTGGTTGGAAGCTGACGCGACGATGGCTTTCTAGTGTTCGTCATGGCGCTGAATGCGCAGAAGCCGCCGAGCACGCCATACGATGCTGTCGACCAGGCGAAGGTCACTGCTGACATCGAGGCTCTCAACTATGCGGCGAAGAAGAAGGACGAGCTGGTGTTCTTTGACATCTTCGTCAATCGCTCGGATCGCCACCTCAGTGCTGTGTACGTCCTCTTTCTAATATATTATGTGAACCTTGTTCTAATCAGTGACATTGTTATTGCAGTATTGGTGGATTCAGCACGCAATACAAGAGTTTAAGCCGCGTCGTCAAGAAAGCCTTGTACGCCCTTCCCTTCCTCATATGATTCCCCTTCCCCTCTGACCCCTTCCCCTTCCCTCCACAGCAAAGGCGACGTCGAACGCGCCCTCGTATACATGGTGCACCGCGCCAAGCCCAAGCGGGACGGCAGGGGCATCTGGCAGACAGCGAAGCTGATCGAGAGCACGATGAGGGGCGCGGGGACCAAGGACGCGGTCCTGATCTACCGCATCGTGCGGGCGTCATGGGATCCGGAGAGGATCAAGGCGGTCAAGGACGCGTATCAGAGAAGGTACGGAAAGCCGCTTGAGACGAGGATGAAGGGCGAATCGAGCATCTATGGGCCATATTGGGATGCGTTGAGGGAGTTGATGGGGTCGACTGGGAAGTGAACGGGATGAGAAGGGATTCGAAGGCCTGGTGAAGGGGTGGGTGCGGGGCTTTGTCTATGTGTTTCTTGAATTGTTTGATATCTTGTTCGACCTTTTTCCCCTTTCTTTCTGCCTCTTCCTCTCTGCTTTTCTACTTATCCCTCTACTTCGTCTTATTTATTTCGACCTCCCGCCCCTAATGTGTGCGCCTAGCTACATTTCAAGTTTATTTCGTACTTTTCTTGCCTCGTATACTTCACAAACGCAAAAACTAAATGCGGCGGTAATTGCACTTCGAGTCATCGGCCGACGCCCTCCTTCATGAGCACAAATTCATCCGAACGCTCCAGCGTAGAGTAAATATATGCGTCCGAAGTCCAGCTCGTGCGCCACCGCTTCTCTCCTTCACGCCATCACTAATACCTACCTGCTTCGCAATTACGAGATGCCCTGAATCTGCACTTCGGTGTCGATCTTGAGGTGGGATTCTTATGCGGGGAAAGCAGGGAACTTGGCGGGAGTTCTGTCTTCCTTTTACTGAGGTGTGTTCCTGGGGCTGCTGGGCGGTCGAAGGTGGGGTTGGATAGGAGAAGGATTATGGGGATGACTTGGGGCAGAGGGGAATTTGAGCAGACGAGAGTTGACGCCTTCGCGGAGTTATCTATCTACCCCCTCCGATAGCTGTAAAATTAAATAATCAAAGCGCTCTTTCATAAAGTATCTGGTCCGACTAACGTCGGCTCCGATTCACTCTCGTTCCGTAGCATTTAAGTACACACCGTTTAATAATCCGGGATGTAAAGGGGATTAAAAACTACTCCATCGACATCGAAATCGCATCGCTATGGATGGCGGTTCCGGACTCAATTTCCGCGAAATCCTGCCTGCATGCCAGGGTGCAGGGCTCATGCGTGCTTGCGTTACGAGATGGATGATTTGAAGGATGCTTCCGCGACTGCGACTGAGGTCTAAGGGTTTTGTGGACGTTATCAGACAGGGTTAACGTTAGAGATCGGGAGGAAAGGAGATCTCGGAAGGTGTCCAGGTGCAGGTCGTGTTGATGGCTTCGAACGTTCGCGGTGAGCTGGGCTTTTTGAATTTTGGCATATACACGGCTCGGGAACACCAATATATGCCGTTCGGACTGGCGAAAAAAACCAGTTAGCATCAGCAAGCCATGATATGTGATTCGGAAGTTTTGGAGATACGCCCGTTCGTCCGGCGTTCCAGGATTTTTGCTCTGTTGCTGGGCGATGGCCGCCAGGTCAACCTTGTCGGGTGTCGATCTGTAAGGCGAATGCCGTTGATATTATTAGACTGCTACTTCGAAGGACAGTGTTAGAAGGGCACAGACTTGTTCGGCTATCGATCGCGGCAGAGAAGCTCGATGGTGCAGACCGAGAGAGGGCTGGTACGAGGGCTGAAGGAGAGGAGGTTCAACAGAGGAACCGGGATCTGGCCTTCCGCATGCCCCTGCCGTTCTCTATGTCAACGATGCCATTAATTGGGCGGATGCACTAGAAGGCAATGGACGTTGGATGGACGAGTTCTTCACATTTCAGCGGCGTGATAGAGGTGAAGGATGACGAGGGTGGTTACAGGGTTTGGAGTCAGGCGCGTCTGGCGGCGGTCGAGATTGAGCTATGGGCTCTGGAAAATAGGATAAACAGTACCTTCGGGAGTGGGTCAAGTCGCAGGTATGGTGCCGTGTCTGGATCTCTTGCCGCGATGATCTGCCTTTGGCCGTAAAACCCAAGTCGAGAGTGAGTCAGCACCTCGCCCTGGGTCTGATCATGACGTCGAAGGGCGTAGCGCATCTGATTAACCTAGAGGATGAGTTTGAAGTGCAGAAGCGGGTCCAACATGAAGCAAACTGAAGAAGCGCCTCCGCTTCTAAAAGTATCGTTGAGCCTCATGTCGGGCTGCGCAGGGGGGTTAGAGTGTAGCTCGCCGCCAGGAAGCCAGAAGATTTGGGAGTGCCCGTCCGCCGCAGTGGTAGATTAGCGCCCGAATGGTAGACGAGGATAGCAAGGTCCAATGTCGGGCCTCGCAAAGACGTAATGCGTCCCAGATAACAAACATAGCAAAGGATACCGGTATCGCGAAGCTGTGAGTGAGCTCCTGGGTCCGTATACAAGCTCAGGCGAGATTTGACAGGCCCAACAGGATATGATTGACGTTGGTGTCGGCCGGGTACCATTTCGGACTAGGAGAGCTGTACTCGGATGGATCCGTCAAAGAGCCAAAAGTCAAAGAGAAAAAGCGCTAGCCCCAGGCGTATATACGCAGAATCGATGGGCAGAGGGCACCGCACGGAACTCGGAGTGGGCGAATAAAATACGGGAGCAGAGGGGTGGGAAAAGCTCGGGGAGCGACTGTTTCGAAAAAACGCGGACTACACGTGTAGTACTATTTTGGGAGGGGAGGGCAGAGGGCTCGCTTGGCTTTTTTCTTCAGTTCCTTCTCTCCTCATGACCACCATCTCAGCCACCATGTACCGCCTTTAGATCTCCCCCCTGCCGCCAAAACCGTCCTATCGATCCGTATACTGTCCACACAATGCCGCCATCCGCAAACCTACGGAGACATAGACTCGAATACCCACTTCTAGCACACCACTGAAGCACAAAAACCCGCCTTTCATACCCTCGACCCATTCCCCGTTCAATCGATCACCATTCCCCGTTCAATCGATCGCCACAGCGTCCGTAAACACAATGCCCCGCGCCATTGAGCCACCCTCATCGATCGACGTCCACGGTTTCCGTGACTTCGTCCCAGACGAGGACGCTGCCAACTTCAATTCGGCACTTTGGGAGACGATCGACCAGGACGCCTTCATCCGTGCGCAGCAGGAGGCTATCGAGGCCTTCAACATCGCCAAGGCCCTCAAAGTTTCTCAGAAGACGGCCGCGCAGGAGCAGCAGATGCGGAACGCCGCCGCGACTGATACGCCCGTCGCAGTGGCGTCATTGTCTACCTCCGCCTCAACTTCTGCGGCAACGACGAAGCCCGTGACGACCTCCACGACAGCCTCAATGACGACAAGGACGAGTCCGGCAGCACCCGCACATCAGATATGGCTCCCAGAAAGCATGAACGCCACTGGTACAGCCCAGGCGGCGTCATCGTCCGCGAGCGGGAACACCCGGGCCGCTCAATCCCAACCGTTATCGATCAAAAAAGACGCGACCTCCTCCGATGAGGCCGCTGCAAGGTCCCTCGCGCGCTCTTGGCAGGTAGAGGCCATTCAGCCCGCCCTGCTCCTCGAAGCCAGAGCCGCGACGGCATCTACGAAACCATCCACGTCCACAGCATCCTCTTCACCTCCAGCATCCACTTCCACCTCCGCATCCATGTCGAATTCTGTACTACAAGACAAAAGAGCGCCAGCGTCGGCCTCAAAATCGCCTTCTCAGAATGCCAACCTATCATTATCAACTTCTTCGGCTTCAGCATCTGCATCAGCTTCCACTTCATCTCACGCTCAAGGCGCATCGGAATCATCATACCATTCACGCACTTCCTCTTCGCATTCTCAGTCGCACGTTAATTCTACTTCAGCATCGCAAGCACATCGCAGCGCCCTCTCGAAGAGGGATCCCAGCACGGAGGCGCGTGGGCCTACAGCGGCGACCACTGCTGCCCCGTCTGCTAGCTCTTCGGCTCGGGCCCAGTCTTCTACTTCCACACCTCCAGATGCCTCAAAGAACGCCTCCCAGCAAAGGCGTCGAGGAGAGCGCAAGATGTCGTTCTCCGTCTCCAGTTCCGCTTCTTCTGCAGCTACCCAAACCCAAGGACCACCGACCGCGCAAACATCCCATTTTTCTACTTCGCAACACGCATATACCTCTGTTTCTCCATCAGCCTCTGTTACTCCGTCTGTTTCTACTTCTACTTCTACAGCTACGACCACGAATACCTACCAACAACCTAATACGTCTGCGAGTTACGGGCAGGGCCATAAGGGCTCCAGCTCGGGCAGCAGCTCTTCAGCAAACGCGCAGGTGGCACCGTCTGCAGCAATCCAACCGACCTCAGCCTCGACGGCACCGGCGGTAGCGAGACCGCCACGCAAGATGTCCTCCGCTGCGCGAGACGGCGGCAGGCCCGCTCTGGTCGGTAAAGAAAAGGAGAAGGAAGTCCCGGCTTCAACTTCTACCCCATCGTCAGCGTTGACTTCGGTTTCAGCGTCGGCTTCTGCCTCTCAGCAACGTCCTCGTCGACGATCGGCACCTGAGACGGGTCAGGAGGCCGAGCAGCAGCAACAGGGATCTAGGAAGGAGAGGAAGGAGAAGGAGAAGGAAGCGAAGAGGGAGGAGCATCCGTTCGATGTCTTCACGGCGACGCGTCCGTGTGCGAAGTGTGGGATGGACGTCGAGTCGCCAAAGGGTGCTGTAAGTGTTTTCTCTTATTATTTCCATTTCTAATTATCTCGTTCCTTTCCCTTTTGTTTTCTGCTTTCTTTTTCCTTTTTTTTCTGCGTTCTTTTCCGACCGTGCTGACTAATTCTCAATGTCAGATTACTGCTACACCCGACCCGTTTTCTCTCCCTTTCGCCGACCGCCTGCATCTGACATGCACAGGATGCGGTACCGTACATTGTCGAGGGTGCTTCAAGGTCGTTCAGTGCAGCTCTTCTGGCTCTGGCTTCTCGACCGCCTCTGGCGCTGCACGTGCCCACTCCCACTCTCAGTCCGCATCGAATGCTCTGGCGTTAACGGTGATTAGCAAGACGAACTCATCAACGACCTCCAGCAAGACTTCATCCTCGGCGAAGACGCAAAAAGTACAGCAACCATGTTCCGGCGGGCCGGGGTGTGCTGTTCGTACATGCTGCCTGGGCATCCGTACCGTCGCGATCTTCGAGGCTCTGGCGAGCTTTGACGAAATTTTCGCGCTTGAGGCGGGTTTCATTCATACTCAGGGCAAGAGCGGCAAGGACAAGAGCAAGAACAACGAGAGCACCAAAGCAGCTCGACAGGCGTACGTCAAGCTCCTGATCTCCAAGGCCGACAAGAGCATGAGGCGTTTTGAGGACGCCTTCGTACGGACGCTCAAGATCTTGTGCAGCTGGCTGCGCCCGCCCATTCCAGCGCAGGCTTACCCCTCCTCATGGCCATCGACGACGTCCTCTACACCTTTCCACCCCGCCACCTCTTCCTCGTCATCATCTTCGTCCACCTTCCTCGACCTCCTCCCTCCGAACGTTGCACACCTCTTCCACGCGTCCTACCTTCCCGAGGTCCTCCACGCCTTCCTTTCCAACATGAATGTGCGCGACTGGATCGCCCACGCCGAGACGTACTTCTCCGTGATCGAGGTCGTGCGCCGTCTCTCAGACGCCGGGCTCGCGCCGACCCTCCTCGCCCTGCCGATGAGGCGCGTCGAGCGCGGGGCGGGTCTCGGTGGGTGGGTCTGGGGTGTGCGTGGCATCGAGTGGGAGGTGCTGGAGGATGAACGGGAGAGGGAGAGGGCGGATGAGGCGAGGGGTCCGCCGTATCTGAGTGCCCAGGAGAGAGCAGAGAAGGCAGCGGAGAGGGCACAGGAGAGGGCCCCGCTGAGCGAGCTGGTAAAGCAGCTGGAGCGACACCGTAGTCCGCTGATGGCGCTTGCGGAGAAGGTCCAGTTCGCGGGGACGGTGGAGAAGGTGAACTTGCTGTGTGACGGGATCTCGTATCTGTTGTTGCAGCAGGTCGTTGGGGGGTTGTGAAAAGGGCTTGATGCCCTCGTCCGTGACGTTGTCGAAGAAAATACGAAAAGCGAAACCAAGACTAAAAATCCAAAGCCTGCTCGCATGGACGATTTTCACTTTTGATCAATTTTTATTGGTTCTCTTGTTCTTTTTCTCGTTTTTCTCCCTTTGTCTCTCTCTCTTTCCTCACTGTGTGTCATATTTCCCAGCTCCTCGTTGTGTCATACTCCTTCCTCGCTGCTGTATCATTGCTCATCATCGCGCTCCTCTCTTCTTTTCTCTATGCACTGCATCGCATCCTGCATCCTCGCATTTACATTTTTTTATATCGTACCCCCATTGCATCCTCGCATCCGCATCTGCATATTTTTTCTTTACGATTTTCCTGTCTTCCCTTTCCCTTTCTCTTATCTCATGTCTCTTCTATTCGCCTCTCATCTGAAGGATGAACGTACGTATATTGGAATCCTCTCGCGCTCTCCCACTGCTTTCCGAACCCTCGATATCTCAGCGTCTCTTAGTATCGTCTCGATCGTCTCGGTTCTTTTTTCTTTCTCTTTTCCTCATCGCTGTTTATTCCTTCATGACCGTTATGTATGATCGTAACGTCTTTTTCCATAGTACCTTACTACACTTTCATACACTATATAGATGCTGAACTCTGTGCCCTACTGACTACCGCTATACGAGTCCCAAGGAGAGACTACTCCTTATATATATATGCCGCACTATTCTTCTACATACACTTCATTCCGATAACTTCAGGCATGGGCTCGTTGGCCAACTTTCGTTTTAAATTCTGAAAAGATTACTTCGTTGTTCCCTTGCAATTTCCGACGCTGATACTGGGTGTCAATGTCTGAACTCCGACGCAGCTCCGACGCGCACCACAATGGTAGGGATAATCGATCCATCGATCCATCCTCTCACTACGATGGATCTCATCCTAGATCGCGACTCCTCCGAAGACTCTAGCGGCGACTCTGAGGTGGACGACCCCTGTTGGATTTGGAGAGGCAAACGCGCCCGAGCAGCGCACAGGTTTCACGTATGCGGCTCGTGTCAGCACGGCCCGTCTCATGCTTGCAGATAGGTATTTTGTCTTTATGTTAACTTTCATTTTACTTCCGTCTACTCTACTTCACATCTAGAGTACATATAAACATTCTACGTTATCTCGTTGCCGTTCTTATCATGCATCGACTGCTCTTTTGTGTTTTATCTTCATATGGCTCTTCTGGGCAGTCGAGCCCATTTATACCGCGCCATTTTCGTTAGCACTCCCTCAGCCGTTTTTCCAAACGCTGAGGTGAGCTTTCTAGTTTATGATCTACTATTCATATGCTTACATCCTGTACCTAGCTATTCTTAGGTACTGGTCAATGTTATAGCCGTTTTTCCAAACGCTGAGCTATTCTTAGTTGTTTCACAGGTTATGGGCCCCGCTCCCTACGCTTAAACTCGATGATCAACCTCAGCATTTTATTTTTGCCTACACACCATGTCTACTGCCACGACTTCTCTCTCCAACACCCTTCCATCCTCCATACCCAAGCTCGATGCGAGCAGCTTGAATTGGGCAATATTTGCCGTCCAATTCCAAGATGCTGTCGAGGCTAAAGGCTTCTGGGGTCACTTCATTGGTACCGACCCTCGCCCTGTTCCTGCAGCCACTCCTACCCCTGCCCCTACCCCCGCTACTGTTACTGCCTGTGCCGCGACCGCAGCTGTTGTGGGCGCTGCCCCTCCAACCATTGGTGCGACGGCGACCCCTACCGCGGCTGAGATAGCTGCTATGGAGAAGTGGGACAAGGACGAGCGTGCGGCGAAGTCTTTACTCACCCAGAGGATTCCCGATTCGATGTTGATGCGTATCCACTGGAAGAAGACCGTCTTCGAGAGGTGGTCCACCATTGTCAGCGAGTACACGGAGAAGGGCGCTTATGCGCAAACCGAGATGCGTATGAAGTTCTTGGGGTCGAAGTGCCCTGACAAGGGCAACGTGCGCGAGTTCCTGGATTCCTTGGCCACCAAGAGGGAACAGCTTGCTTCGGTTGGTGTCGACATTGGTGAGAAAGACTATCGCTCGACCATCCTGCAGTCCCTTCCTATCCCACTCTCAAACTTTGCATCGGCGCAGCTTGCTGCTGCCCGAATGTTCTCCCCAACTGGTACCATTGCTCCTGACACCCTCATTTGGCTTATCGGTGAGGAGTATGACCGCCAGAAGTCCCAACGTTCTGGGCGCTCGGGAAAGGCGAGGGAGGATGACCGTGACGAGGTGATGGCAGTCTCATCGAACACTTTGAACAACATGGGTGGTGGACAGGCTGTGAATGGTGGAGGTGGCTCAAGCAGGGGGTGCTGGAAGTGTGGCAACCTTGGTCACTGCAAGAGTCAGTGCCCGAAAATGAGGAAGATTGTCGACAAGTTGACTCAGAAGGCAGCTTCTTTGAAGGCGGGTGGGTCTGCGAATGTGGTTGAGGTTGAGGAGGGGGACAGCGATGGTGTTTTTGTGGTCATGGTCGAGTCTGATGATGAAATGTCAGTGCATGGTTCAATGCCAGGGCTCCAGTCAAATACCAACACGGTGACGGGGAGTGACGATTATTCCGACGCCGACAGCGACTCCCTCCTGGTGCCTCACCAGTCTGATGCGCTGATGGACAGTGACTGGTTCTCGGATGTCGGAAGTGACGCTGGAGACTATGACAACCCATTCTGGAGCTCTGAGGATGGATCCAACGAGGAGGAGGAGAGATTGATGGCTGAGTTCTACGCCATCATCAACACCGTCAAGGAGAAATTTGTTCCTCGAAACCCCTTGCGTCGAGATCTATGACTCGGGCTCAACTCGCCACATCTCCCCTTACTGCGAGGACTTCGTCAACCTCACGGAAATCCCACCGCAAACACTTCGCGGTGCCAACAAAAACAACTTCAGTGCTACTGGGGTTGGCGAGCTCATCATCGACGTACCTAGCGGTGTCAATATGAAGCAGCTCCACCTCACAGAGGTGCTCTACTCTCCCGAAGTTGGCTATACGCTTGTCTCCATTGGGCGGCTTGATGAGAAGGGGTTCTCAGCAACATTTGCACACGGGAAGTGTGTTATTCGAGGACCAAAGGGTGAAGAGGTTGGCGAGGTGGCAAAGAACGCAAAGGGCTTGTACCACGTTGAGCATGACGACGACACGGTCAATTCAGCGATCGAGACGATCACTTTGGACCAGTTCCACCATCGCATGGGCCACATATCACCTGAGGTTGCTCGTCGACTTGTATCCAACAAGTTTGTGACAGGTGTTCGTCTCACAACAATGTCGACGTCTGGTGATCCTTTCTTCTGCGAATCGTGCATTTATGCCAAGGCGACAAGGAAGTCGGTGCCGAAAGAGAGAGCTAGGGAGAGGGCAAGCGAGTTTGGTGGTGAGGTTCATTCGGATCTCTGGGGACCAGTGCCTGTTTCTACATGGGGCAGTCGGCGCTACTATGTCACCTTCATTGACGACAAGACACGACTCACTCACCTCTACCTCATGCGCAATAAGTCTGACACTTTTGCCAAGTACAGGGAGTACGAGGTGTGGTGTGATGCACAGCTAGGTGCTCGAGTCAAGGCTTTGCACTCGGATTGAGGGGGAGAGTACACCGGGAAGGAGTTCGTTGTCCATCTCAAGGCTCGCGGCACGGCGAGGAAGCAAACCGTCCATGATACCCCTGCCCAAAATGGTGTTGCGGAACGTCGTAATCGCATCATCATGGAGCGCGTTCGAGCGCTATTGCACAGTTCTGGTCTGCCAAAGTTTCTTTGGGGCGAGGCTGCTCGCCATGTCATTTGGTTGTTAAATCGGACGTCGATGAAGGTGGTGGATGGCAAAACCCCCTATGAGGCGGCTTTTGGGAAGAAGCCTGACCTCCGCGAGGTACGTGAGTGGGGCGAGAAGGTGTGGGTGCGCGTCGAGGGAGGGAACGAGTTGGGTGGGTGGGTGCGAGAGGGGCGTTGGATGGGTTTGGATGAGAAGTCAAAGGGTGTGAGGGTTTATTGGCCTGACAAGAGGACCGTGATGGTGGAGCGAAATGTCTATTTTGACAAGACAGCCTCATCAGTCAGCCGTCTCGAGGGGGAGGACTGGGAATTCATTGAAACGACGCCTGATTCGATGCTGGATGGACTTACCAGCACCCCATCTGTCAATACACAAGCTTCTACGTCCGCACCAACTCCTCTCGTGACACCTGCAACCACTATCCCTGCTCCCACAGACCCCACGGACTCGAACACGTCAAATTCTAGCGACCACGAGACGCTGTCAGAGCCCGAAACTCGCTCAAAACGCACTCGGAAGCAGGTTTTGGGTTTCCGCCCCATGCACGTGATGCGCTTCCATTACATAAACCATTATCTAATTGTCCAAACCGACGCAGCTCGCGAGCGATTCGATTTCTTTCTCCGACCGTATCAAGCCGTATCAGGGCTTCTTGGTGGCGCGGTGGCGCAGCACGCCTTTTGTTCCCAACCACCATCGTCAACGACCCCTCTCCGCCTCCCTCCCTGCTCTTCCTTCTCCTCTTCGCGTTCCCGCTCCTTGTAGCCCCTCCACACTGCTGACGGCCCCTCTCCGCGATGAATATTGCGCGTTTGTGTCGACGCGCGCCTGCCTCAAATGCAAGAACATGGGAGTGAGGAGTGGCACGGAGCGCACATCTCTCGTCGTTCAAGGCGCCCCTCTCCCGACACTACGCGTTAATCGACACAGAAACACACATGACACATGCTGCAATGAAAGCCAGATCCAGGGAACGGGAGGTAGCACGGTCCGTGTATGAGTGGCATTGCAGTGGGCTACTGAAAGCATGGACACGGTGGAGCATGGGATACATTGGAGGGCCATGAACGCGGTGAGCAAGTACCTTTAACCTCTGCATCGACTGCACCATGCTCACCTTGCGCGTCCCAGACACCGTTCCCAATACCTCTGACTCAGCCACCACATAGCCGTACGACTCCGTGCTCCCCATCCCTCTCTGGCTGCTGAGCCACCTCTCGAGTCCATAATTTCTGTACACTAGAACCTGTAATAATAAATCAAACTTCCAATTACTTCAATAATAGTGTGAATGGTCCTTATTCGGGCAGTTGGTCTACAAGTGAGAAATGGTTTGAAACTTGAGCCGTTCATGTAATTCACTCATGGTGGCCCTCAGCCCGACGAGCCAGCTCGCGCACTCGCCTTCACTCTAACGAACCGCCTTCCTATTTTGATGTTTACATAAGTGATGACAAATACGATCATCACGTGCATGGGGCGGAAAGTCGCCAACTCTCGGAAGCCTACACAACGTCTCCGTGACATCCTCGAGGGACGCACCGTCTCGTCCAATTGTCCTGGGGCACCAAAGGTTACACCCAGGGTGCAGCTCCCTTTGGAGATCCTCTACGCTCTTTATAGTGAGGCTGGTTTTGAGGGGGAGAACGAGGACGGGTGGGTGATGGTGGCGGACTTCATTGATGAGTATGCGATGGCGGCAGAAATCAGTGAGAAAGAGGCTTTAGAGCCCCATTCTCTCGCCGAGGCAAGGACTCGACCTGATTGGCCGTTGTGGGAGAAGGCGATCCTGGAAGAACTTGCTGTTTTGAAAGCTGCAGGTACATGGGAACTTGTCGATGCACCTCCTGGAGCCAATATTGTTGGTTCAAAGTGGGTTTTTTGGGCAAAGAAGGATGCCACTGGCAATGTGGTGCGTTACAAGGCTCGTCTTGTCGTGCAAGGTTTCTCCCAAGTCCCGGGGATCGATTACTTCGACACGTTTGCACCGGTCGCACGCCTTGCTTCTATTCAGGCCGTTCTCGCGATGGCAGCTGTCCATGACTACGAAATCCATCAAGTGGATGTCAAAGGTGCTTACCTAAATGGCATTCTCACCGCCGACGAGGTTATTTTTATGTGCCAACCCCCTGGATATAGGATTTCTGACAGCGCAGGAAAGGTGTGTCGTCTTCTCAAGACACTGTATGGACTGAAGCAGTCGGGGAGGCGATGGTATCAGAGGTTGGTGGAGATCATGGTGCTGCTCGGTTTTGAGCAGTGCGCGGTCGACCAGGCAGTTTTCTTTAAGCGCCACGGCAAGGCACTTGTGATCGTGCTTGTGCATGTCGACGACTGCACAATTGTGGCCACTGCACTGCCACTGATCGAAGCCTTTAAGGCTGAGGTCGCCAAGCATGTTGAAATCACCAATTTGGGCAAACTCCACTGGATCCTTGGCATCGAGGTTCGGCGCAATCGTGAACGCCATATTATCTTCCTTTCCCAACACTCGTACATCGACTTGATCATTCGCTGGTACAACCTTCAAGACCTCAAGCCTCTTTCCATTCCCATGGACCCCAATGTTCGCCTTTCGAGTGCTCAGTCTCCCTCTACCACTGTCGAGATCGCGAAGATGGCAAATATCCTGTACCACAAGGCCGTCGGTTCTCTCATGTACACCTCGCTCGGTACACGCCCGGACATCACCTTTGCTGTCCAAACCGTCTCACGATACACCTCAAAGCCTGGTCCCGAGCACTGGGAGGCCGTCAAGCGGATTTTTTGCTACCTGAGTGGTACGAAGGAGTTGTGGTTGAGTTTTGGTGGGGACACAAAGGGGCTGGTTGGATTTGCGGATGCGGATGGGAGTATGGCAGAGGATCATCACGTGATCTCAGGGTATGCTTTTTTGCTTCACGGCGGTGCTGTTTCGTGGAGTGCTAAGCGCCAGGAGATCATCTCACTGTCCACCACAGAATCTGAGTACGTCGCAGCAACACAGGCCACGAAGGAGGCTCTCTGGCTCCACTCCTTGGTCTCGGAGCTTTTCGCCATCGACCTCGACATGACCACTTTATTTTTGGACAACCAATCGACCATCGCACTCACAAAAGACCATCAGTATCACGCCCGCACTAAACACATTGACATTCGGTTTCATTTCATTCGCTGGATCATCGAAAAGGGGTCCATTTGACTCGTCTACTGTCCTACTGGCGAAATGGTTGCGGATACTCTCACCAAGGCCCTCCCTTCTGCAAAGGTGAAGCATTTCGCTTCAGAGCTTGGACTTGTGCTCATTTGAGGGGGAGTGTTGGATTTGGAGATGCAAACGCGCCCGAGCAGCACACAGGTTTCATGTATGCGGCTCGTGTCAGCACGGCCCGTCTCATGCTTGCAGATAGGTATTTTGTCTTTATGTTAACTTTCATTTTACTTCCGTCTACTCTACTTCACATCTAGAGTACATATAAACATTCTACGTTATCTCGTTGCCGTTCTTATCATGCATCGACTGCTCTTTTGTGTTTTATCTTCATATGGCTCTTCTGGGCAGTCGAGCCCATTTATACCGCACCATTTTCGTTAGCACTCCCTCAGCCGTTTTTCCAAACGCTGAGGTGAGCTTTCTAGTTTATGATCTACTATTCATATGCTTACATCCTGTACCTAGCTATTCTTAGGTACTGGTCAATGTTATAGCCGTTTTTCCAAACGCTGAGCTATTCTTAGTTGTTTCACAACCCCAGCTTCCAACCACGTTCTAGTTCTGCCCATACTCCCTCCACCAAAACTACCCCATCGGAGAGAATCAAGGACAGGAACAACGGGGCAGAAGCGCAAGGTGGACGCCGCGGGGGGAGCTATGTGTTTGCTTGAACATGTATCCCATATCGCTGTCCTTGAATATTGCCATGTTATCACAAGGAAGGAGCCTGACAGGATGGTGGGTAGACGTGCTGCCTTCTTGTTTGCTTGCTCTGAATTGGCTCTGAAACAATTTTTGTCAGCTCGATGCATTGGAATATGCATGGGGAATGTGTTGATTCATGCTCAACTTGCATACAAGATATAATATCTGCCTTTGTATGTATGCCCAGCGGATTCTTCACTTTCGGGTTTGATTGCTTACAGATTCCAGTGGGGCCAAGGCTCCACCATCTCTTTGACCAGAATAAGTTCTTCTTCCTCCTGGACAATGACACCCTCAAGAAATTCTCTGGGGCCATTGGCACAGCTTTACCGTTCCAGCCGACTGATGATAATGCCGTGGTAGAACAATTCATCCCTCTCAATGGTTTTCTTTTCTGACTGACAACACTGTTAAGACCACTAGATTCACATACTATTTGGTTGTGACTCCATCCATGAATGGAGTCCCAATTTTTTGCCAAAAAGACAGAACCTCCATGGGGACCAATCTGGCTGATTTTGAAGACCATCCATTTCCATATGGCACTTTAACCATTGAATCCCATGTTTCCCCTCAATTCATTATTTTCAATGCTGGCCAAAAGCTTGTGAAGATTGTGGACCCTGATGCACTTGCTGCTGCAAATGCCCACATTCTAAACATATTCCACAAAATTGACAGAACCATCATCCTCTATGCACGTTGGACAAATGTGGAACCTCCAATTGAGTGGCTGAATGCTCTGCCACCACCAGCACATGCACCACCATCTCATTCAAGCCAGGCACCAACTGAGGCACAGTGCGAACTGAAGTGACCTGTTGACAAGCAAGTGACTCTGACATGCAAACGGCCCAAAGATGACAATAAACAAGACAAATCACAACCACAGCAGCAGAGACAGCAAGCACATGATGACCTTGAAGGTTTGATTTTGAGCCAACAGAAAAACGGGATCATCATTCTGAATGGAAATGTTACTATAAAAAGATGGACTCTATCAACAACTGGAGGATAAAAGTGGGCAAGGGTTTCGAAGCTGAGCAAAATGATGATAGAGTTGTATTTTAATAAGCTGACACTTCTCTTCTTCACCTCTGTCTGCAACCTTCACCTTTTACAACCCTTTTTTGTTGTATTGTCTCATACTCCTGTGTATGCCTACAGAAAAATGGTAAGAAGGGGCACCTTGATTCGTAACCATCACCATCAAGGTGATGACTACGAAACTGAGCGTCTCCTCCCCTGCAGCAGAATGCTGTTGCAGAGCATAGAGCATGCCTGCCCTCATGGAGGGAGCCCGCATGATGGGGAAGGCCAGAAACAGCCTGACGCACTGTAGAATACAGCGTTGAGACATTGCCTCACAGCCAGAGCGAGCCAAATGTAAATTACATAAACAACTGAAACCCTAAACCTATGAGTGCCATCTCATGACACCCATGTCGAACACCGAAAACCAAGCCACCCACTCTCCCCAAAACCTCATGGATTCATGCCCAAGTGCCATGTTAGACGACATCAATGCAAACTTGACTAGCCTCAACAACTGGTCCCTCAATTATATATGAGAGGAAGGTCCACCAAACAGTACAACAAACCACCGAGACCCTGCCACTGGCCCCAACAAGAAGGCTAGAAATAGCCAAAACGAAGTCCAGCACATGGCCTCTGGTGCTAAATTCAACATAGATAAAACTGAAATAATCCCTATAGGATCCAGCATATAGTGGAAAAAATTGATAGAAACAAGAAAGTTAAATGAGTCTATAAACACCAAAATTCCAGATAGAGTAAAAATTGCTGAAGATGGACAGGCTATAAGAAGCCTAGGTGCTCTGATTGGAAACAATATAAGTGAAATAGAACCCTGGTCTAAAGTACTAGAAAAAATAGATGAAAAACTCATGCATTGGGGAAAGAGTAAATCTACAATGGAAGGCAGACACTTAATTATTAATATGGTCATTGGTGGCATGACTCAATACTTCACCAAAGTGCAAGGAATGCCTAAAGAAGTAGAGAAGAAACTAGAAAAGAGAATACAAAAATACATCTGGGATAAAAAAGATAGAGTCCGAATAAATAAAGAAACAATTCATGCACCAATTAATCTAGGAGGCAGAAACCTACTTAATATCCAAAGCAGGAATAAGGCAATCCAGCTAATGTGGCTGAAATCCTTCTTATTCTTTGGCCCAAACCAACCCCTCTGGGCCTATGTAGCTGATGCCATAATAGCCCACTATAGTCCCCAAGATGAACTGAATATACCAACTGAACTCAAAATCAACTTCTTTCTGCAAACCTGGAAAACACTAATAAAAAAGCTTCTAATAGAGCTCCAGAGCATAATAAAAATTGCAAAAGAAGTAAACCTAAAACTTGAAGGAAGAGGCTTCTCTATAGATATACTGAGAACAATGCCACTATGGTATCATGCTAAAAGACAGGGGATGCGAATCCCTTCCCAAGGAAAACAAGTGCAGTGCATGAAAATAAATCATAATATTTGGCTTGTTGGTGAAGCTGAAATACTTGCAACAATTAGAAACTTTCCACAACACCGAAACCAGTGGAACTGTAAGTGTAACAGGTGCCATGAAATACAACTTACAACTGGATGCCAAAATCCTCATAAATGCTCAAAAAAAGCAGAAGAACTTCTAAACTTGTTGCCTGAGAAATGGAACCCACTTAAAACAACTCCAGAAGATACAACACAAGAGGATACTCAACCAGTGCTACCAAAGCCAAATTCAATCTTCTTCAAACACAAAATCACTACAGAAGGTACAATTGCAGATGCATTCTGAATATTTGTAGACAATCCAGAAAACAGCACAAACTATTTAACTCAGCATGAATACAATCTGCCAACTGAAATGATTGATGTACTGTACGTAACCGGTTACTCGGTCACACCAGCTACTCGGTCATTGCCTTTGTGGATGGCACAGTTGCTCGTTTCACTCCATTCTTTTTGTGCATTCATGTATAATAGTATCAGAGCAATGTAACTGTATTTTTTTGCAGACAGAACACCTTTCCTCGCAGAGAAATGAGCCTCCCTTTGCGTCTGGTGATGGGTGACACCCAATTTCCTTATTTGATACTATGTTTCTGGTGGTCCCGGAGGGCTTTTCTCGACGACATGACACATTGCCAGGAAGATACTTTGGACTTAAGAATTTCATAATTACTACTGTATAATTAAGCAAATTTCTCTTATGTTGAAGGACTGCTACACTTCCAATCTTGAAAATTGGAGAGTGTGTCATTTTGGAGGTGGATTGGACTGTTCCTGCTGATTTCTATTAGTACAAAGCATCTACTGCATAAACGAAGGGGTGAAACGAATAGTGAGGCAAATATATGTGCATGACAGAAGGCCCCTTAATTTTTGCAATTTTCTTCCAGACATAAGACACCAAGCAATTGAAAAAGCTTGTTTTGAGTGATGAGAAATGTCAAATTAAATAACTGAAAGGAAAACATCAGAAATCACAAAATAAACATACCAGCTCATGGTAGGGGTGTCTAACTTTCACTGGAAACTCTTTTTCGCTGAGGTCAGACCAACTTTGAAGAGCAATTCAAGGTGGCCGAGTACTGTCCTCGTATTCCGAGGTTATCTTATCATCAGCTTACTAAGCATAACTGACCCTGGTTACAGCCGGTGTACGGGACCAATACAAATCGGTCTAGTCTCAGGCCCTGGCCGACTTCCTGGTTTTGCCTGATTTTGACCTATCGAAATAAAATATTCATGGAGGTCTCAATAGCTCCCTTGAATTTCTGATACTTGGTGCACAGGTACTTCAGATGCTTGCCTATTGAGTAGTACTGTTGGTTTTTTTGACACCCCCAAACCCAGCACGCAAATTTTAGGCGACTGTAGAGTGACCGAGATGCCGGTTATCTACAGTATATACTGATGGATCATGTCAACTAAATGGAGCTCAGAACGCTATTGCAGGGGCTGGAATATTTATAAATCAAAATAATACTCTAAACAGGAACATTCATATTCCACAGGAATTTCCACAAACAAACCAAACTGGTGAAATCCTGGCTATAAAGGAAGCACTGGAAATTATACCATCAACACACCAGATAAATATATTTAGTGACTCCCAAGTTGTTATAAATGGCCTCACAAAAAATCTAAAGAAATAGGAAGACCAAGGCTGGACCGGCATCAGCAATGCTACAGAACTACAAACCACTGCTGCATGCCTACATGAAAGAAAAGCACCAACCACATTTACTTGGATTAAAGGCCATTCTGGCCTATATGGAAATGAAGAGGCTGATAAAGCAGCAAAAAGAGGATGTGAGAAAATAGAGACAGACCTAATTGATACAACAATTCCACCCCAGCTAATGCTATCTGGCATAAAACTTGCTTGTTTAACACAATCACTAGCATATAAAGCAATTACACAACAAAAATTAGAAAGACCTGAGTATCAAGATGCTCTGGACCACCATATGACTAACATAAATTTGGAAAAGACTGTAAATGCTGCTGAGGAAATCTCAAAAATGCTACCAACATCATCACAAGTATTCCATTCAATACAACACAAGGATCTCTCAACAAAAATAAGGCACTTCCTGTACCTCACCCTCCACAATGGATATAAGAATGGTGATTTCTGGAAGCATATCTCTGGCTTTGAAGACTGAGCAATATGCAGTCACTGTGAAGTAGAAGACTCAATGGAACATATACTTACCCAGTGTATAATACCAGGCCAGAAAGAAATATGGTCACTTGCAGAGGAACTCTGGCAAAACAAAAAAACTCCCTGGCACTACCCCACTATAGGAAAGATCCTTGCTTGTGGATTAACAGATTTCCAAGATGAGAATGGTAAGCACTTACAGGGAGACTCTTGACTATACCAAATTATTGTCTCAGAATCAGCCTGTCTTATATGGAAATTTCGCAATAGAAGAATAATTGATGAGACAGATCCTCTATCATACAATGAAATTCAGAACAAATGGGTCCACACTATAAATTCTAGGCTTTCACTTGACTGTCTCCTCACAAACCATTTCAAATTTGGGCATAAAGCTATTTCCAAAAGTCTGGTGAAATCAACATGGCAAGGAGTCCTAAGGGACTCAGACACCCTTCTACAAAACTGGACCAAGAAGGATGGAGGTTTAGTGAGTATACACACAGGCATTGGTTAAAATAAGGTATGTTATATGGTTCTCTTACTATGACTTTAGGCTGCAAAACAAATACCAATGCTTGGATGGAATCTCACACAAGAACCCTCATGAGGGGGTGAGTGTATAAAACATTCCTCCATGTGGTTATGTCCAGTCAGGGGCCCCCTGACAAAATAGAGGTCCAAGGGCATGACTATGTTGAGGCATCATGCCTACCTAAGGAAGACACTCTCCACAAAAAAAAAAAAAAAAAAAAAATAGTAAGAAAGGCATTTGATTGAACACCACAAACTTGGGGTACTGACGTACTAGCCACTTCTTAGCCTTGTGGTTCTTCCAAATCAACACCAGCCTATCAGACCCACCTGAGGTGAAGGTGTGGCACATCGGGACTCAGATAGAAGATGACTGTATTGGATGGGCCAGACACATCAGGAAAAATCCCTTTATGGAAAGTGTTGATTAATCGCCGAACACTGATCCAATGTGATCTGATGTGACTCCAAGCTATCCAAACCACTCTAAGGAGAGCAGAGAAAAGAATTAAAGCCATATGAGTACATGAAAGTATTCATTGCAGTATATTTAATACTCTAGTGGTTTGTACAGGTCAGATTTACAATATAGTATCTTCTTTATGGTTCCCAGTTCAAACTGGGCCTTCCTGTGCTATTTTTCTTCTCAGACACAAAGGGTGATTGGATGGATACTGCATTAATATCACAGAATTGCAGTTGTATAAAACATTTGGGCTGCACCAAGAGAAAAATGTCAAATACCTTGTACTGGCCGCTTTTTTCAACAGTAAAGATGAAATATCTCAACAACCGCTCACTTAATTCCTCTCAATTTTTGTACATCACTACGCGTATAGTATTCGTACACAATCTGAAATTTTTGTGGTTTTAGGTGCAAAATCCATTGAGATATAATGGTTGCACATTTGTGAAAACCCGCATTTGAATATCTCAACAAATAAAAAAGATGAAACCACACAAGTCGAGATCCATTAACAAGGATACTATATGTACATGCCCACCAAATTTCAGCATCATAGCTTCAGTGGTTGCTGAGATATTGCACCAACACTGTAAATGAGTGCACTGTTTTCAAGCTCTAAGTCATTTCAAACTCAGACAGGCTGGACGCTCATACCAGAGGTGGAAGCTAAATATCTCGGGAACTGCTAGAGCTACCGCCTTGAAAATTTACAGGCGACTAGATTACATATTGTTGATAATGTCTGTAAAGCGAAATGTTATTGCAATGAGTATTTACCGAGATATGGAGATGCGGGTTTTTCCAAAAGCGCACAGGCTATTTCTCCTTCATTATTCACCCTAATTTCCTGAAACTCTACAGAACTTCTCCTTTATACTATGAAAACAGGTGCATAAATTTTCAGAAGCATAGCTACAGCGGTTGTCGAAATATTTAGCTCAAGGGCAACAGCTTCTCTGCTATACACTCATATCAGAGATGGAAGCTAAATATCTTGGGAACCACTACAGCTACCGCCTTAAAATTTTACAGACAACTAGATTACATATTTTTGATGATGTCTGTAAAGCGAAACATTATCGCAACGAGTATTGACTGAGATATAGAGATGCAGGTTTTTTAAAAAGCGCACAGGCTATTTCTCCTTCATTATTCATCCTAAATTTCTGAAACTCCACAGAGCTGTTCCTGTATATTTAGGAAATAGGTGTGCAGATTTTTAGAAGCATAGCTATAGCGGTTTTTGAGATATTTAACTTGAGGGGAACAGCTTCTCTGCTGGTTGCTCATATCAGAGGTGGAAGCTAAATAGCTCAGGAACCGCTAAAGCTACTGCCTTGAAAATTTAAAGGAAACTAGACTACATACTTTTGATAATGTATGCAAAGCGAGATGTCATTGCGACGAGTATTGACCGAGATATGGAGATGCAGGTTTTTCAAAAAGCGCACAGGCTATTTCTCCTTTATTATCTGCCCTAAATTTTTGAAAAGTTGCAGAGATGTTTACTCAAACTATAAGTACCAGTGTACAAATTTTCAGGAGCATAGCTATAGCAGTTTTTGAGATATTTGACTTGAGGTGAACAGCCTGTCTGCTGTATAGCGGTGTCACATGTGGGAATAAGGCTCATAGGTGGACTCATTTCCCATCCGTCTCTTTCTTCCTCCCCTCATTGTTGCATTCCCCTCTTTGTCTGAACAGCCTCTATACTCCTATGTTATAGTCTAGGAGTGAAATAAGATAAGTTTTATAACTGTTTCAGTTTTGTACTGATATATTCAACTGCCAGGTCATCACTGTTCACATTGAGAACGTCTACCTTAACATTGAAACCAGGTGAGTAATTTGTTAGTACTTCTAATTTCGTTTACTTATTCCAAGTTGTTCCTCTTTTATAGAAAACTTCTACTATGTTAGACCCTCTTATGAGGGTCTAACCTGCTTATCTGCAGGAAGCCAGGTGCGCCGTATTTCAATTTGAACATTAAACTCAAGTCTGCTTATATGATCACAATGTAGAATGACTCAGTCAATAGAAGCGAACATAAACACCCAGGTATGTACTGCAGTTGAATGTCTACTGTGTAGCTAACAGTCAATTCAGGTCTGTTGAAGGTATTCCCTGACTCGTGCTGTTGACCATCGCCTGCTCGCCCCACTGACCATCACCAGCTCGCTCCCTCAACCATTGCCCACTCGCTCCCTCAACCATTTCCAACTCGCTCCCTTGGCCATTGCCTGCTCACCCCACTGACCATCACCAGCTCGCTCCCTCAACCATTGCCCGCTCGCTCCCTCAACCATTTCCAACTCGCTCCCTTGGCCATTGCCCACTCACTCCCTCAACCATTGCCAACTCGCTCCCTCAACCATTGCCCACTCGCCCCACTGACCATCACCAGCTCGCTCCACTGACCATTGCCCGCTCGCCCCACCAACCATCACCAGCTTGCTCCACTGACCATCGCCCACTCACTCCCTCAACCATTGCCAACTCGCTCCCTTGGCCATTGCCCGCTCGCCCCACTGACCATCACCAGCTTGCTCCCTCAACCATTGCCCGCTCGCTCCCTCAACCATTGCCAACTTGGTCCCTTGGCCATCACCCGCTTGCTCCACCAACCATCACCAGCTCGCTCCACTGACCATCACCAGCTCGCTCCCTCAACCATTGCCTGCTCACCCCACCAACCATCACCAGTGCACTCCCTCAACCATTACCAACTCACCCACCAACCATTGCCCACTTGCCCCACCAACCATTGCCCACTTGCCCCACCAACCATTGCCCGCTCGCCCCTCTTCCATGCAAGACTACAAATGTCAATACGACCATGACTGTCTACAGCTTCATAGAACTGACTGCACATCATGTATTTAATTTACTATTAGATATAAATATATCAGATTTCAGCCTCTCAAATAACATGAGCTTATGCTTTGAGGAATATCATCAAGATTATGTGCTCTAAAAATGATACATTTCTAACACTTTTTGTTTCCAAAGTGTTCAACAGTGTTTTGCTAGCAAGAGGACTTGTGTCAAAGTGATGTTTAGTGTACAGATCATCCAATTTGCCTTATGTGCCCAAAGTCAAACAAAGTGACACTTTGGTCACACTTCTGGTATAGGGCTTTTTCCTGATGCGTGGGGATTTGAAGGTGTCCTTTTTCCTGGGGGATGGTCAAAGTACTACTTGACTATGATGCGGCCTTCGATGGAGGTGGTTGCATAGTCTGTCTTGGGGTGTAAGTGCGGTGTAAATGAGAAGAAATTTTGTGGGTGGAATAATTGATCGACAGTTAATTTTGAACAACCACTACACATTGTGCCCCATCCAGTGAATGGAAGAGCGAATACAAAAAAAACTGCTTGGCATACACTCAAAGCTGCTCTCTCTCTATTGGGCTGGCATGTCCATCTTGTGAATGTTGTAAATTCCATGTGGGATAGCCTGCATGCTATATAGACACCCTGTGATAGGACCCCATTTGCATGTTTGTTGAGCATGGATACCAGAAGAATAGTGTATGATCCAAGAGGCATTATTAGGGAGTCTGCAGGTAAAGTGAGCAGTCAAAAAGAACCCAGTTGGGTACAAGGGTTGAAAATGGACTGGTAGAGCGGGAAAAGTCATGGAGGAGACACTGTCTGAGTGTGTACCCAGATTAAAAATGTTCTCGCTTCTGAGGTTGAGTCTGTGATGCAATTAATCTGTCATTGCAGTCCAGTAATATGAGAAGTGACGCACTCTCGCGCAGACGTGTCCAAAGTCTCACTGAAGGCCCTTGTCCCATCCGCCTTGAACAAACATGCCAGAACTGCTGCTTGGGAAGTCCAACTTTGCCTTTGCCTAGCCCTTCCTGCCACCCAGTGAGGAGCCATGCTCCATACAAGCCTACAATTTTGCGGCCTCCCTTGGTTAGAGCACCACCCACTTAGATAACATGAAGTGTTACTCGCAATGGTCAAAGACTCAGACTGATGCAATAGCACCTAGTTACAATAAGAATGCGAAGCCAGTAATTGTTATAAGTGTCACCTTCAACTAGGGACATGATGAGCAATGGTGCTTAATGTGCTATTACCCAAAGACTAGTATACCCCTATACCACAGAATCATAAACCAAAGCACGGTCTATTAATTTGTCTGCGAGACCATCTAAGCATGAGAAGCCAGCATAGTCAATTGAGTGAAGAAGCAGAGGTGCTAAACGTGATACAAGGGTGATCTGGCATTACAAAAGCAAATGTAGTGTCATAATCCAAGGGCTACAAAACATACTAGAGGGTTAAACTGTTCCACCAGAGTAAGGAATGGCTTGTCAAAGTCAACACTATTATGTTTAATATCGCAATATGCCATATCACATTAGAGCGCTAATTGGCCAAGACAGCAAACCAAGTGAAGTCTCGAGGATGAGTCAGGGATTTCCATGTGCACACATGGAATAACTTAACTGCAATAAGACTGATATTGTGGTCAGTCAAGCCAAGGTTCACCAAGAGTAGTGAAGCGGTCTTATTACCGTGCGATGCCTTCTGAGAATGATGGACGGAACCAAAATGGTCATAGTTACTTGTTGGGAATAATACCTAATTAGTGCTGGTGGCATTGGTCCATGCTGTTCTCATGATAAAACACCACATGCTTTGTTTCAATTTGCATATCTAGCACATGGTACATTACTTGACTCAGACTCTTAGATACTGGATACCCCTAATCATGTTTGTACAAAAAGCCTTGAATAGTTTAGTTTAAGCAAGCAATCTTTACCCCCCAGAATCTGATTTTCAGTTTGGCATGATTAGCTTCATGTGTTGAGTTTGGGGCAAATTGAGACAACAAGACAAGTCAAGCAAAGAGTGTTCAAAGTCGAGTTTCCGTGATAAGCTTCTAAGTTGGTCAAAGGACCATTAAGCCAAGTGCCCGAGTACTGTAAGTCGGTCTGTGTACCGTAAGTCAGTCAAAGGGATAAGTTTAAGTCAAGGACAATTGAGCCATTAGAAGTCAAGTCAAGAGAACGAAGTCTGAGGGCATTTTCGAGTTTCTAGTCGCGTTAAGTCAAGCAGTTCAAGTCCATCATAAGAAACAACCCACACACCCCAAATACCATTCCCCATTGTACATCCCTGGGTTCACGGGTGTTAGAGTTCATTAGCTAGTCAATCTAGCTTTTGTTGAGCAAGTCCCTCGAATAGTGTCGCTATCGTGTTAGTCAACGGTTCCATTGCATTCAGTTGTATACTGTAAATCATCACCCTTCTTATCAATTACAAATATTATTGATTGGGTAGTAGTCTGGTCAATAAGTTGTGTTATCTACAAAGTCGTTGCTCTAGACACTTTGTAGTCTCACTCCTGCAGCTACCTCTTCACTGGCTTACATACCTTATAGAATTATACGGTCTATTGACGAGTTAGAAAATGAGAACCAGTAAGCAGAGGGAAAGTGTACCATGTCCTATGCGACCATCCAATGGAGAATGATGTCAAAGGACAGAGACAGAACCATCACATAGTTTGAATTTATCTGTATGAGATTCAAAGCACTGTGAATGAACTATTGGAATTTATTTTTTAAAAAATAACTTGTGCTGTGATGCCCTAACAGACCCATTGCGTTTCATATCCCATCTAGATTGAAGAAACAGTAATGTATTAGCCCTCATTGAAGTTTTGAAAACGGATAGTTATACAGCACCTACCATGGCATCCAAGGACGGTCAGCATGGTATGCACAGTATCAAGAATTCTGCATTATCATTGTCAAGGTGCTCTTGATGCTTAGGGAGATTGAACTACCACAAGATTGAGACCTAAAGGCGATGTTGGAAAGGGTTATGATACAATGAGGGCAGACTGATCTGAGGAAATGCATGTCTTTGCTCGATCTGGCACTGTTGAGGTATATGCATGTCTGTGCCTTTGTTATTCCATAGAGGTTGAATGAAGGCGAGATGGGTAGGACTGACAGAATCAAATGGTGACTGTTGACACCCACTGTAATATCTGAAAGGCAAAGTACTTGTCTCAACATGTCTGGGATGACCAAATGACTGTGTCTTAGTGTGCCTCAGCCATCCAGCAGGGGTGGTTATGCTTTTCCTGCTTGGCTTGTCATGTCCACTACACACCACACTGCAGCATTCGGAAAGATGTGCATACCGTGCAGTACACCCAGAAGGAAGTGCCCACTTGCAGAACACAGTGCACAAGGAAACTATTGCTGCGCCCCAACATAAGAATGCTTTAAATGAGAAAATTGACCAAGCACATTGTTAGGGGTAAGAAAATAGTGGGACACAACAGATAATATTCAGTAAAGTGATTGTCATGGCTGGCCAGTGCCCATCCTTAATTCCAGGAGAGTCGAAAAGAATGCAACGGCGCTACGAACCTCACCGGGACGCGAGAGCGTATTAAATAAGAAAACGACTCAGATGGGAGTGCGTTTGCGGCTCATCGATGCCAGACGACATCATTCGAGGTTGTATTTAAAGCATGAGCGCTTGAGCTCGGTATGGATAGCATTACGGTCCACCGTACCGAGAAGACGGTGCGTAGAGTCGAGACAATGTTAGCGACTTGCCGGCCTGGCCGACAGACAAACAAGGCACGCGAATTTCCTTATTCTGGGGGGTACCCCTCCCTCCACCGTGAGAAGACGTCCGGGATCGGTGGATCTGACACCTCTTGCCTCAAACAATGCTGTCCTCACTACGGGGCAGCATGTCTTCCCTGCTGCGTTCTCTACGCGCCCCAACACTGTCCTCAGTACCCTCCAGGGTATCCCAGCTTCCCCATCGCGCCTACGTCACCGAAATCTGGAAGAACACAAAAAAATCCGAGCTCAGCACCGCCCTCGCGCGTACCAAGGACCTCTACAAGACCTACAAGCCCGTCTCTCCAGGAATTCGGCATCTCCGACGACCACTGAACCCACACATCTATCCCGGCCGCCCCGTGCGCTTCCTCACCATCGCGAAACGCAAGAACGGTGGGCGGAACAACCACGGGCGGATTACGGTGCGCCATCGCGGCGGGGGGCACAGGCAGCGCATACGGGTGATTGACTACAAGCGGGAGGCGCCAGGGATCCATGACGTGGTGAGGATCGAGTATGACCCGAACCGCTCCGCGCACATTGCGCTGCTGTTCAACCGGGACCCCAAGGCGGTGGGCAACGCCAAGTGGTCGTATATCATCGCGACGGAGGGGATGAGGGCGGGGGACGAGGTGCGGAGCTTCCGACAGGGCATTCCAGATGGGTTTATCCCTGGGTTTGACGAGACGGCGGGGTTCGAGGAACAGCTCGCCGAGGAGCACGCGTCGGAGGAGGTCGCTGCTGCTGCTGCTGCCGCTCGTGCTGCTGCGGAACAGAATGCAGAGTCACTCGCTCTAGGTCTGCTTCGTTCTCTGACGCTCAAGCCAGGCAATGTGCTCCCTCTGCGCCTCATCCCGATTGGCACCGTCATCAACACCATCTCGCTCAAGCCGAACGGACCGGGCATCCTCGTTCGCTCTGCTGGCACGTTCGGACAAATCGTCGCGCAGGAAGACAAGAGCCGCTACGTGCACGTCCGGCTGCAGAGTGGGGAAGTCAGGAAGGTGCTCCGAGACTGCTGTGCGACGATTGGCAAGGTCAGCAACCCGCTGTGGAAAAACCGTTCGTTGGGCAAGGCTGGTCGGTCAAGGTGGTTGGGCATCAGGCCATCTGTGCGTGGTGTTGCGATGAACGCGTACGTTCCGGGTTTTTCGATGTTTTCGTCATGTTTGACCTTTGACTATGCAGCAATGACCATCCTCACGGAGGAGGACGTGGAAAATCAAAATCGAACAAGCATCCTGTGTCTATCTGGGGTTGGGGTACTAAGGGTACACGGACGAGGAAGCCAGGGTCGAAGGGACCGAAGAACTCCAACAAGATGGTTGTTCGCGAACGTCCTCGAGGGAAGGAAAAGCGAGGACTCGCATGAAAGTTATACCCCTCTTGAGTCGTATATTCGTCAATAATTCTTTAATATTGTAATGGGAAGGAGATTGATGCAGACGATTGTTGAATAGTCGGCATCGACACCTTTGGCTTCACCTTTCCGACGCCTCGCCTCGCCGCCCCTATTCTTCCCATCTTTAGATGTGGTCAGATAGTCGTTTGCGATTGCCCAGGAGGAAATTATGGCCTGGCATCATGCCTCGCTACGCTGTTGAATGGCATCGTCTTGATCAGTGAATCCCTGCTCATGGTTAGACGCCCTCGGGTCGCACGGACCTGAAAGACCCAGCCCAGAAGTGTTTGCGTACTCCCTATTCATCACGCTTGCTCTTCTTCTTCCTCTTCTTCACCCTCCTCATCAACAACCTTCTTCGGCTCCTTCCCTAGCTCAGCCTTACCAACGACGTCCCGCCACTTCGTCAGCTCATCCCCGACCTCGTTCCGTGCTGCCTCCAGTGATGTCCTCAGCGCAGCATAGAATGCTTTCTTGTCGTCCTGCGGAGCATCGATTTTGTATTCGTGTGACTTTTGAGTGGGCAAGTCGGAGGGTGCTGGAGATGGAAGGTCGGCGGGTGGATTGAGTACGTAGGTTATCTTGATTGAGGACATAGTCAGAGGATTGTATGTGGTTGCTGGAGCCTGGGAGGAGACGAGAGCGGGAAAGAAGATAAGATGGCCGAGTTTAGGGAGGCAGATGACTATGTAGCAAATGCAAACAAAGGAGATAAGATTTCGCTCTGACATACGCATCTCTTTCTCACCGATACCTCCACACTGCCCATTTGTTCTGTATAACTTGTAGATCCTCAGCATTACGATAAATGGACCCAGACTTCGACCTCGAGTCCCTCGTCCACGTTGAGCAAACGTCCGTCCAATTTTGCTCATCCTCGGTCGCCATCTTTTTGACCTCATGTCTTCGTCTGGCAGGTTCTACGAGGCAGGCTACGCCGATGGACACGCACACGGGCGGATACACGGTCTGATTGAGGGGCGCGCTCTCGGACGCGAGAAGGGGTTTGAGATGTGGGAAGAGCTCGGGTTCTACGAAGGCTTCGCGCGGACTTGGGGTGCGATCTTGGTGAAGACTGGCAAGGCTGATGAGTAAGTCGATAGCCAACGCATACGAACCCATGATTTTTTCTGATGAGGTTTATAGTCGTGCTAATCAGCATATAAGACACCTCCTCGAGCTCATTGCTCAGTTTCCACGAGTAAACCCTTCTTCCACCTCCGCCTCTGCCGCCTCCTCGTCGTCCAGTTCAACTTCTCCCAAGGAAGAAGAGAAGGACCTCGACATATCCAAACTCCAGCGCCAGATCCGCTCACGGTACAAAGCCCTCTGCTCCTCCCTCGGCGTCCGTCCACGCCTTCTCTCCGCAGAGATCGCCGCTCTGGACCGCGAGGACGGTTCTCCATCCCCTCAGGAAGACACGGGAATGAATCTGGACCACGATGGCGGGGATGGAATGGGAAAACGTATGGCGAAGGGCTCAGTGATCCCGGTGTGGAAGATCGATAACGCGACGGGGACGAGGAAGGCGGTTACGAATCAGGATCTGAACTTTTGATACTGATCCTAGGCTTGAGGAGATCGTTGCAGGCCTGTCCTCCGTCGGCCATTCCAAAAAATGGTTTGGAGATACTTTTGAACGAAGGACATGCGCACTGTAGGGTGTCAGTTGTGAGTGTGAGTGGGTTCCTTCTCGCCCCTCTTCCTCAGTACCCGTAATGATGACCTATATATTTGTCAGGCGCCAGGGATCTATTCCTGCAATTCGTCTTCCTCTGGCTCACTTTTGGGTGCTGCCGATGATATCCTGGAGGAAGACTCACTGGACTCGGGCGACTCAGTCGGAGTCGGATCGCTTGTAGATGGAGAGTCGCGTTCGCAGAGCCGCCCTCTACCGATTTGCCTTCGAAAGGTGAAAGCCTCCTTCGAGGTTTGACCAAATACCCTACCTCTTCCACCACCCGGACGGAAGTTTTACAGTTATTCGAATTGCAGTATGCGACTATCGAAACGATTTATTCCAGCAATCGGTCTGAATCTCCTACAAATTCGCCGTCCTCCAGATGTATTCCAACACATAATTAAAGCTGTCACAATGCCTTCAAGTTCTCGATGGAATCATACGGCCCGTCGTGGTCACTTTCTTCACCTTCGAATATGTTCGGTACGTCGCCGACGATCCACTTGTCGCTCTCATTATCTTGGCCTAAAAATGCGACCGCCAGGTGGATGAAAGTGATCAACACCGCCCTTGAAGAGGACTCACCAGGGCACGAGACCCACTGGCCGTTGTCCATGATGTGGACCTCACCCGAGGGATGTGGTACCCGAGGAACCTAGCTGCTTATTTTCGTTCCGAGTGATTAATTGGACAAATGGGGCTTTGGACACCGTCGAATGATAGCTACTAAGGTACCACACATTGAGGAGGAAACATGGAGGGCTGGCGGAAACAGAGGGACACATTACGACTTGAATATCAAGGCGTCATTGTCTCATGATACTTAATTCCAGGAGGATTCTCTTTTACATTGACGTGACGAACGGAGGAAATATCAAATTGTTGAAACACGACTCGATCCTTACCTCGCTCCCCTTTGCATTGATCTGGCGGCTCAGCTTCGAGTTCCTTCGCCACGGCCATCCTCCAGCTTTTGACCGACTCCATCCTTGCATTGTACATCTCCCTTTCAGAACGACGGTCCTGCTTCTTGATTGACTCAAAATCCTCGAGCGTCGAACGTTCCGAGTTAGCACGCGATCCCCCTTGTCCGCTGTTACCTTCCGACCATTCGCGTGTTGGAGAGCCTTGCTTGTTCACGGGTCGCTTCAATTCACGCCGAGCCTCGGTTGGTGCCTGGCTTGAATGAGATGGTGAAGAGCGGGCTGGCGGTGGCGGGGTATTCAGCCACTCAGTCAGAGGCTCCACGTTTATCCAACGCGCGTAGAGGGTGATGGGTGATAGGATTTTGTGGAATATGTTCGGAATGTGGGCATTTGCAGTGCTAAGTGTATTGATATCTGGGATCTTCACAAGCTTTTGTCCAGCATTAAAAATTACAAACTGAGGAAGAAGATTGGATCGTATGGTTAAAGTGCCATAAGGAAATGGATGGCTTTCGAATTCGGCCAGATCTGCCCCCATGGTTGTCTTATCTCTGCGGCGGAAGATTGAAACGCCCTCCATAGATGGCGTAACAACCACGTAATAAAGGAGTCTAGCTGTCTGAACCAGGAGGTGTCAGTCAGAAAAGGCGCCACATTGGGAGGGATAGGTCACTCGACTGCGGCATCAGGATCAGCTGGCTGGAACGGCAAAGCTGTCCCGACTTTGTGTGAGCAGTGATTCAAGGCGTCATCATCCGGGAGGAAGAAGAACTTTCCCTGGTCAAAGAGATGGTGTAGCCTTGGCCCCACTAAATGAGAAAGGAGTCTATTAGCAGTTGAATACGAAAGTGAAGAAGCCGAGCGGACAGAGGCACATATTATATCTCGTATGCAAGTTCAGCGTGAATCGACGCATTCCCCATGCGTATTCCAACGCGTCGAGCTGACGAAAATAGGTCCCGGAGGAAAACAGGGAGGTGGTATGAATACTCACCATCGCATCTGGTTCCTTCGTCCCAATGATGTGGCAATATTCGAGCACGACTATATGAGAGACGCATTCGAGCAGACACACAGCTCCGCCTGCAGCGTCGACTATGCGTTTCTGCCCTGGAGGTGTGCTGCTTTTCTCATCTTCAGAGTCGTTACTTGACTCGTCGGTGTACAGGTCGCAGTCGCGATCGTCGTTCGGACCCATCTTGTCGAGATTAGATAGAGCACGCGGGAGGCAAAGGAGGGCTCTGGTCTCGGACCATAGCACTGGTTGATACTTGGTGCTTAGGAGTAAGTAAGTAGCAGTTTAGTAGTTACTAATACCGAAAAGGTGGGTTTTTGAAGTTTAGATTTTTGCGCGAGTTCACGTGATCGTATTTACTTCAACTTGCTTGCTTTCTCCGAAACGTCCTCCTAATGTCGTCCTTTGGTGAGTATTTCCAAGTTTTCCACGTAATTTCTTGGACTAAGTCTTACACAGATGAATCCAACTATGTGACGGTTCCGTCGCCGCCCTTTGACACCATCTCCTCCATTAGATATCACCCGTCCAACCCTGATCAACTACTAGTGTCTGCATGGGACACGGTGAGCGTTTTATCTACTTCCCTGCGTTCGTGTTTTGATCCATCAGTAGACTGTCCGATTCTATGAGATAGGGGAGCCAGGTGGCAGGAAAAACGAGGCGAAGGCGAAGTTTGACCACCGGGCGGCCGTTCTGGCATGTTCGTTCAATATGGATGGGACGAGAGCGTTCAGTGGGGGTTTGGACACGTCTGTGCGAGAGTACGTCGACTCTAATCTTCCTGGATTGTCAGATGGCTGATGAACAGTCTTGTAGACTCGACCTCGGAAGCGAGAAGATCTCTAATCTCGGTACACACTCGGACAGCATCTCCTCCATGACCTTTGCTCGCTCTACCAGTCCGTTCTCAACCCGTGTACCTACTTACGCTCTCTTTGACCACTCCCTTTCTCTGCAGACTCCCTAATAACCGGCTCTTGGGACCGTACACTGCGCTTCTGGGACCCACGCGCCGCAAATGCACAAACGGGATCCTACACAACCCCAGAGCGCATCTACAGCATCGACCATGTCAACCACACACTAGTCGTAGCCATGGCGAGCAGGCTGTTCCACATATATGACATTCGCAAGATGGACACACCGGCGCAGCAGAGGGAGAGCAGCTTGAAGTACATGACGCGAAGTCTGGCGTGCATGCCTGATGGCGGAGGTAAGTGCTTTCTTTTAGCATTACTTTATTTTCTACCTTCTTTCGTCGTCTCTCCTTGGTGTAATGGTTCTTTCGCTCGCCCATTGTAGGCGAAGAGGGCACGAAACACGGCCATTGTCCGAAAATACCCTCTCGACGAAGCATTCCACCCACATCCATTTTTCTCCCATTGACACTATGCTAACACCCCAACACAGGCTATGCAACCGCATCTGTCGAAGGCCGCATCGCGGTCGAGTACTTCGACCCATCCCCTGCTGCACAAGAGAAAAAATACGCCTTTAAATGCCACCGGCAGACCATCGGCGACACGGACCATGTCTGGCCCGTCAATGCACTCGCCTTCCACCCGACGTACCACACCTTCGCCTCGGGTGGGTCCGACGGGACGGTGTCGATTTGGGACCACAAGGTCAAGAAGCGGCTACGTCAGTACCCCAAGTTCGTAGGCCCTGTCGGTGCGCTGGCGTTCAATTGCGACGGGACGCGTGTAGCGGTGGGGGTTGGCTATATGTGGGATGAAGGGGAGGAAGGTATGAGGAGTAATCAGGTCACGCCGTGGGTTGGTGTAAGGAAGGTGGGGGATGAGGTCAAGGTGAGTTCTCTATCATCTTATTCTTCCGCCTCGTGGTCTCCGTGTACTGATTTGAGTTTCTTTGTGCGCAGCCGAAATCGTGGACAGGCAACTGACGTTCGAATGGAGCCTCCTGTTTTACTGTTTTTCCTGCGCTTCCTTCTAAATTGCCACTATTGACACCATTTGCGCTTGAGCCCCATCAGCCCAGTCAGACAAGCTGTGTTGCCGAGAAGAGTATCAACTCCCAAGAGCTTCAGTAGGAGTGCTTCACCGACACAACAATCAGGATCAGGTTTAAACGCCAAAGCTCAAACACTACGGAGCCAACGATTGAAGCCTGCGTCATCTCCTTGAACGGTAGTTCCTCCCTTGGTCTCGTCTGCAGGGCACCTGCCACCGCAGTTCCCGTCATCATCGTCTCAGCTGGTAATCCCTGCGTGCGGATGTGCCAAATGGCGCGGCATGTGAGCGGTTGAGCACTGAATGCAGACCGCGAGCCATCCTTTCGTTTCAAATTTAATCACCAGGTTGAGTGAGAAGCGAAGGTATAGAGAGCCATTCATTGCAAGAAGCGTTATGATATCTGACTGAGTGCTTCGGAGTTAGCACATAACATGAATGTGGAAAGGCTGTATTACCCACTGGAACCTTCAGGATCACGACGATGTTGCTAAAGGATACAGCTGCGGTATGTTTCTGTTACGTGCTCGTGGAGGAAAGGTGAGAATAGTATTTGATGCCTCCTGAAAGTGCAAATCAAATTATACTCTAGGTGTGCATGAGAAGAGGGATGCACTGTCCAACGATCTTCATCAGTATCTGAATTCCGCCGAGCCAATCTAGCGAGGATAAAACAAACGCCTCAGCTACCATTTATGGATAAATTGGGTTTCGACGAATGCCCACAGGCCTTGTACAGTGGTATCGCTATTATGACAACATCACTTGAGGTTATATGTCATTAATGACGGCGGAAGAGAGACGGACGTATAGAAGGTGCACACGTTGGGAAGAAAGCAAAGAATAGTTCCTGAAAAACTGCATTACAGGCTGCCCTACGCAATTTCTGGATGATATCTCGGCTAAATCTAGATTTGTTCTCAAAACACTGGTGTGGGAACCGACTTTATGTGCGGTCGAAAAGGCGTGATAGGGGTGTTAAACATTATATACACGGTTTTTTTGTGTCAATAAAGTTCAAATAAAGTTACAATAAAATCTTCCTTTCCCATGCTCATAATTGTCCGAAAATCATCGCCTTTGAGGTAATTAGTAATGATTACATTTACCCGTCCTTTTGTTGCTCCGGAAAAGACAATAAAAGCGCGGAATTTGGGACAACAAAAAGGATTGACATAAAGGATTCGGGGATACTATAAAAGGAAAGCCCGAACCCTTTATATAAACACTTTATGTTCGTCTATAATTGTTAGGTAATTGATGCCTTTAATTGTGAGCAAAATTTGATATAAAGGGCTCGGGCTTTCCTTTTATAGTATCCCCGAATCCTTTATGTCAATCCTTTTTGTTGTCCCAAATTCCGCGCTTTTATTGTCTTTTCCGGAGCAACAAAAGGACGGGTAAATGTAATCATTACTAATTACCTCAAAGGCGATGATTTTCGGACAATTATGAGCATGGGAAAGGAAGATTTTATTGTAACTTTATTTGAACTTTATTGACACAAAAAAACCGTGTATATAATGTTTAACACCCCTATCACGCCTTTTCGACCGCACATAAAGTCGGTTCCCACACCAGTGAAAGGAGTTACGGTGCAGCTGATGTAACGCCTTTCGATCAATCGAAGACCCGTATTCGAACTGCACCTCGATGTGTACGCACTTATAACAAGCACTCAAAGAGGCCATGCTATGTAAAATCGGACTACGTCACGGTGCTACATAGCCTATTGTAGTTACTTCCGTATTCACAATATAAACAACCCAGGTGTTCGTGAACACCGTTTTGTCTCCATATTCGTGATCCTGAACCCGATCCTGAACCCGCCTAAACGGGCAAAACATATCCCGAAATCCCTTCATCTGTGTACCCCAGATTCCTTATCGCATTGTCGCGCTCACTCGCGGAGGTCGTGTAGAAGTGATCGACGCTGCTTCCACTGTAGAGACGATAGAGTGGAACGCCGCCGCAGTTGGCATTCTGGTAGATATAGCCGGCAATGCCTTCGTAATCGTATCCCAGACGGCTAGCACTGCTCACCTCCCCGGCAGTGGTGGTGTAGAAGTGGTCCGTGTGGGCGCCGTTAAATAGGCGATAGAAGGGAATGGTTCCATCGCTGCCTGTTGTGCCAGGGAACACGTACGCCGCGGTACCTTCGGCGGTGAATCCGATGTTCTTAACGGCGTTGTTCATCTCGTCGAGGGAGGTGGTGTAGAAATGGTCGCGCCAGTTTCCACTGTAGCCCCGCAGGAGGGGCACCGCCGTCCAGGGCGACGCGCATGCGAGTGTACGGTTCTGTAATAGTAGAGAATATGAGCATTCCCGAAAGAGAGTCAAACAATCTGGAGAAATCCTACCGAATCGCTTGCTACCGCCATTGCCTGAGTAACGGCGGCGAGGACGAAGAAGGAGAAAGAGGAGGTCTTCATGCCTGGAACTCGAATTCTTGCGTAGGCCGCGAGAATGAGGTTTCTCTGCGAGTCCAATCCTCCTTTATACTCCTACAAAATCCATTTAATATTTCGTCTCGAGTATATTCAACAAGACACTAGACCGGTCCCATCATGTCTAACGCGCTTCTGTTCTCCCCTCCTGTGACCCACGCAAAGAACACTTCATTTTTGTGTAAAATCTTACGATGGAAGACCGGTCGATTTTATTCTCCGAATCTTCGCGAAGGCTCCTCGTAGCGACCCCAAACCTCACTTCCTTGCATCACCCTCCAATACCATACTGCTCAAGGGAATGCTATCTCCAATATTCGAAGGATTACAGATGCCATCAATGAGAAAAACACTTCTGCCTCACTATCATCGCTTCGCTGGGATCCACGGAACAAGCGGACCTGTCAAGAAATGGCCCCTTTGATCATTCAAACGATATCCCTGTCAGTATAGTGGCTTCCTCGTCTTCAATTCCAATTCATCCACACATGCAAGTGAATAGCCTAGTTGAATTACATCTGGACTGCCTGTTTGAGCGACAGGAGGAGCCGGGGACAGGAGGAAGTGGTGGATCGAACTCTGCTTTAGGCTCAAGCTAGGGCTGGAGGCGCCGGGGGACGAGGAGAGTAATGGCCACCGATGGTGGCGGCGGCGGCGGCGTTGGCTGTAGTTTCTATGAGAGACTTGGATTCTCTGCGATGAAATGTGCATACTGCTTCAAATTCGGGTTCGGGCTCAGCTTCAGCCTCGTCGGTGCCTCATGCCACTTCCTGGTCTCATGCAGCGACATACGGAGCTGGTGAAAGTGGAGTTGGTGGCATGGGTGCACAAAATGCAGACCACGTGTCATCCTTTCGTTTCAAGAAGCGTTATGAGATCGGGATTGGTGCTTCGGGGTTAGCAGCTAAAGTCTCGAATGCAGAAGGCTGTATTACTCAATGGGACCCTCAGGGTCACGATGTTGTCGATGGAAATATAGCTATAGCGTATTTCTGTTAGGTTTAGTGAGTGTCGCTGAGGAAAAGAGAGATGTGCAAATCAAAAAGGTAAGAATAATAAATGTTTCCTGTCGGAAGCTCGAATCAAATTATAGTCGAAGTAGACTTAAGAGGACAGCGCACCACCCTGAAAAACGACCTTCTGATCACCGCCGAGCGGATCAAGCGAGGATAAAACGAGCGCCACAACTACCATTTATAGATAAATTGGGTTTCGATACTTAGTCACTACATGCCTTGTACGCCGGTATCGCCATGAGCACCAACGTCACTTGAAGGTCGACGTCATTAATTACGGTGGAAGAAAGACGAACGCAGAGAAGGCGTACGCGTTGGGAAGAACGCAAGACTTCTTGGAAAACCGCATCCAAGGAGCCTGCCCTACACAGTCCCTGGATGATGCTCGGGCCAAATCTTGATGTGTTCTCCAAAATAGTCATGGCACAGCTGATAGTACGCCTTTCAATTGATCGAAGACCCGTATTCTGACGCGACTCGAAAGCCTTTACACTTATCGCAAGCATTCAAAGAGGTATGTTGTGTGAAAATGGGCTACGTACTACACAGCCCATTGTGGTTACCCCCCGTCTTCACCGACTAAACAAACCAGCTGTTCGTGGTCACCGTTCTGCTTGCACGTTGGGGATCCTAAAATCGCCTAAACTGGGATAACATATCCCGTGATGCCTCTATCGGTGTAACCCTAATTCTTTATCGCCTCGACGCGCGGAACAAGCAGATCTGCCAAGAAATGGCCCCATTGATCACTCGAACGACGTTCTTGTCAATATGACTTCCCGGTCTTCCATGCCATGTCGCACCCATGTGAGCTATCGGGATGGCATCTACCAGGAAACTGCTTACCCGAGCGACAGGATGGGTAGGGGGGCGGTGGTGGCAGCGGTGGAACACCAAGCTCTGGTTTGGGTTCAGACTCTGGTATTCGAGCCGGGGCTGGAGGCGCATGGAGGAGGAGGCGACGGTGGTGGCTGCAAAAAGATAGCAAACATTAGATATATTCGACTAACCGTTCTTCTTTCTGCTGCATTTTCAACTGCAAAGAATTGCGTAGCGTTCAGGCTTGGGCTCAACCTAAGCCTCGTCTGAGCCCATGCTGCTCGAGTCCTAAAATACCTCTCGTGCAGCGATACACGGAAGTGGAGTAGGTGATGGCGATGGCGGCAGCAGCGGCGCAAGGGCTTCAGGGCAGCTGCCGCCTGTATTCAGAAGATATTTGGCTACACAGTGAGAACCAAACAAAACGGCGACGCGTCTTGCGTCCACAGACTCAACTTGAGGACCAACCTTGTGACTTGTCCCATCATGGTAGGCCATTTCTGCTTTTCTAGAGACCATTTCGAACGCTTGAATCAATCGTAGGCGATGAGTATTACTACAGGGACATCCGAGCTTCGAGATGTCACCAAAATGGAGCGCATTGGTTCGTTTAATAACGCTGAATTATTTCGAACAAAATCCTGACCTGATACCGTACCCAGGAGCTCACTCGCATATTCGTGGCCTCGGACTCGATGACCGGTTAGAACCTCGCGCCAACTCGCAGGGGCTGGTAGGACAGGCAAAAGCCCGCAAGGCAGCAGGCATGATTCTCAAAATGGTGCAGGAGGGGAAGATTGCCGGTCGCGCGATGCTTTTCGCGGGACCACCGTCGACAGGGAAGACTGCTATTGCCCTAGGTGTGTTGTAGTATTTTTCAAAGCATGTTTCCATTGCTTCTGCCTCTTTCTATGCCGCAAAATGACTGCAGGTGTCTTCATATCACCTCTCTCGAGACGTCCTTCGTTCTCCATCTCACAGCTTTCTGCTGACGCGGTTTTCCTCCAGGCATGGCACAATCTCTCGGTCCGGATGTACCCTTTACAATTATCACCGCCAGCGAGGTCTTCTCGTTGTCGATGTCTAAAACTGAGGCCCTTACCCAAGCCTTTCGACGGAGTATAGGCGTGAGGATAAAAGAAGAGACGGAACTCATTGAAGGGCAAGTAGTGGAGATCCAGATCGACAGAAGTCTAACCGGGGTGCGTATCCTTGCCGTTCATCTGACCACATTCTTCCTTTTCTCTCCACTTCCATGCTAACTTTCATTCGGTGGCCTTCCCCACCCGCTACCCTGTTGTGTGCTGATGGGGCTGTTCTGGAGCACTTATGCTTCTTTCTTTCTTTCTTTACAATAAGCAACACTTCTCACACTCTCGACAGGCCACGAAAACGGGCAAACTGACTATCAAGACCACGGACATGGAGACCGTGTATGATCTGGGCATGAAGATGATCGAGGCCCTCACAAAAGAGAAAGTCCTCGCAGGAGACGTCATTGCCATCGACAAGACCTCTGGAAAGGTTACGAAACTAGGACGTTCATTCGCTCAATCGAGGGACTATGATGCCATGGGTGCCGATGTACGTTCGTCCTTCTGCCCTTTTTGATGAGCTTGATCGAGATTATTGACAGTGATCCCTCTTGTGTAGACGAAATTTGTACAATGTCCTGAGGGCGAGATTCAAAAGCGCAAAGAGGTGGTGCATACAGTCTCCCTACACGAGATTGACGTGATCAACAGCCGGACGCAAGGTTTCCTCGCTTTGTTCGCTGGAGATACAGGAGAGATCAAGCCTGAGCTTCGGAACCAAATCAACGCGAAGGTAGCGGAGTGGAGAGAAGAGGGCAAAGCAGAGATCGTTCCTGGGGTGAGTTTGCTCCTTGGCGAAGTGCTCTCTATGCTCCTTTGTTTTCCGTTTTCGTCCTTGATGAGTTGTTTTCAATGCTGACTTAGCGTCCAGATTCTCTTCATAGACGAAGTCCACATGCTCGACATCGAGTGCTTCTCCTTCCTCAACCGGGCACTAGAAGGCGAGCTGGCACCACTCGTCATTATGGCCTCGAACAGAGGCATGGCTCGCATTCGCGGAACCAAGTTCCGTAGCCCGCATGGCCTGCCTGTTGATCTCCTCGACCGTGTGTTGATCGTCAGTACGAAGCCATACACCGAGGAGGAGGTGCAGCAGATAATTCAAATCAGGTACATTCGCTCTCATAATTTAAAACCCTTTTTTCAGTCTTGTCTTGCTGATCGAGCTCCCTGCAGATGCCAAGAAGAAGACACCCAACTGACCCCAGACGCGCTGACCGTCCTCACGTCGATGTCGATGCAGACAACTCTGCGGTACGCCCTCAACCTCATCGCGTGTGGCAAGGTCGTTGCGCGGAAACGCAAGGCAGAGATGGTCGACGTTGAAGACCTTCGGCGCGCATATACCTACTTCATGGACGAGAAGCGGAGCGTGCAGTGGCTCAAGGAGCAACAGGGCTCGCTCGTATTTGAGGAAGTGGGCAGCAAGGAAGATGAGTTAATGGACATTGGGCAATGATGCCATTCGGCAGACGAAGTAGCGTCCTGTCCTAGGTGTGTTCAAGGATCTTGTTCTTTGGTATCAGCTCGAAGCTCATGTGCGAACTAAGCCTTTTTTTGGAATAGACAATCTGTTGTATTTTTGGAAGACTCGTTCGAACCATCGATATTTCACTGTTTCTCTTATTTCTCCTGCTCAACCATGAGATGCTCAACGCGAAGCGCACTATTAGGCCCTTAGCACAGCCTATGGATATCGATTTGCCGCCGCCACCGACCTAAGTACATGGCATCGATGTACTGTTCTTGTGGCCCTTTCTCTTCCATCTTGTTCGTCAACTGATTATCATCATTAGATTGGTCTATGCCTCGCTTCCATTGCGTTCCTCCTGTTCTATCAAACTTCGCCGCAACTGTGAAGTAGAGTTGAGACTTGGCACGCCTGTAAACAGGTATACGGTCTGACAGATATGTCAGAGGATGAAGGCTTGCCCGGTCTCGGCCGTTGAGTTGGGGTCGAGAAGTCGATTAAAAGACCATCTTGTCTGCGATGATTGGCTACCTGAAGTGGGCGCTTAGCCCCCTAGCGCTCGCCTTAACCCTCCTGGTCGACCGGCATTTCCGAACTAGCGTGACAAGCGAGATGATAACAGAGATACCCCGAAACAATAGTGCAGCTATGTATAAAGACCTCGACGGCGGTACATCTCCTCTCGCGCAATCGTCCTCCTTCGCCATCCCAACAGCTACTTGCCCCAAGACGCGAACCTTTTCCCTACGTCGCACTGTGCGTCTTTCTTTTTGAACGATACGTCTTAGCGCCTTGATCTGACATCAGTGTAAGATGCGTATCTACTACGGAAAGATAGACTTCTCCCCTTACGCCGTCAATGAGCTATTTGTTCTAGTCTTTCCTGCTGATTTTCTCCTCAAGGACGCCGTCTGCGCATACTGGCAATGGACTAAAGACGGCAGGGGCAACCCCAAGGTCAACTACACTCAGTCCAGTGTCATTACCGGCGTGAACACGGGCGATTCAGACGGGGCGCTGCGACTCGCATTCATTTTCGAGAACTTTTACTCCTTCGACGCTACTGTGTCCAATGACGCGTCAACTCTGCAAGTAACCATGAGCGATCCTGCTGGCGCCAAGTCCGGTGTCATGACTCTGCGCCAAAGCTACTTCGATCGGAACAAGATTTCTGTCAGCAAGATCTTCGCGGGCAAGATTTCGTGGAGTTATTATTTATCGGACGAAATGATCATCGCAGCTCTCCCTAATGGTTCTGTCGTCAACGATGGTGACCAAATTTGCCTCTATTTCCAGTGGACAAAGGACGCGAGTGGGGTGTATAAATCCAACAATTCCGTTGTCAACAAGCTTTACTCGGTAGCCAATTTATCGGATGGCCAGTCGACAATGCAGTTCCTTTCGAATGACCAGTACTATACGTGGAGCGGCACCCTCTCCGCAGACGGCGACACCCTCACGTTAGAAATGCAAGACCCATCAAAGAACGCGGGAAGATCGACCTTAGAACGAGTCGGGCCAATGACGAAAGCATCCAGGAAGGTACGTACCTACATTCCGCCTTCGTTTCATCCTGCTATTTCAAGGGCTGCTAACCCATGACGCCTGCAGGCCCTTATCGTTCGATATGACACTGGAACAGACTCCGGCATCTTCGATGTCCAGAAACTTCTGACCAATACCCTTGGTCTTGACAGGAAGAGCGTCACGATGCTGTATTACAACACAGAGCCAAAAAATAGCGACAGGACCTGTACCAGCGGCCAAAAGCCGCCTACGGCCACACGATTCAAAGAGGAGTTCAAGAACCTCCTCAGGAATGCGGTGCGCGGGGATGTTCGGTTCCTCTACGTTGACGCCCACGGAAGTCCAAGGGATGCAGGCGACAGCTCTGGAGAGAAAGATCGCGTCGACGAAGGATGGAAACTTGCGAAGGATGACAATGGCCGTCAAGCCGAGGTCGTTTATGACAATTGGCTTACGACTGTCATAAAATCGGTATTTCCCTTCCTCTATTGAATGCATAGATGCATTTCGCTGATTCGCATTGCCGATTACCTCCAGATGCTTGGCCCTGGAGTCAATCTGACTATCCTCACATCCTCGTGCCTAGGAGGCGGTATGCTCGACACTCACAACGGCACTCCAGGTGTCCTCCTCGCCGGATGCCACGAAACACAGACAAACGTCAAGGCGTTTAAAGGGAAGGACCCCTGGACAGCAGCCATTATCCATGTTGTCGCAGGACACCAGAAGAAAAAGCGCAATCTGCCAACCTATGCCCAACTTTACACAAGCGCAAAGAAGTACATCATCAGCCTCATGCAGAACGGATACATCGGCGGCAAGTTATACCTAGGCCCAAGTAAAGATGAAACAAACCCCGAGCCGTACCGATCCAGCGACGGCTCAAGCCACCAAGACCCTCAGCTAGTGTTTTGTCAAGACTATATCAACGTCGACGTCGATCGGTTCTTAGCTCCCTTTGCCGAATGGGAAACCCAGACAGCGAGCATGAATCTGGGACCAGCAGTGCGTTTCCCCAAAAACGAGTTATGAGGACGGAGAAGGGGCGGGATGTCGAGACGCAGAGCCAGTGCACACCCAGCGAATCTATTGATAGATGTCACCAAAGTATGCATTCTGTTCTTCTTGTACCACCAATTGATAAATTGCTAAGCCTTGTAACCTTCCATCGACACTGTTTCGGCGAGGTATCTAACATGCTACCCCCCAGAAAGACACCTCCCTTTGATGAAGCTGACTACTATGATGCACAGGTCTCCTCCATCTGATCAGCCTAAATTATAACCGATGCTGCACGGACTTTTGGTCTTCGAACCCTGTTGTCGTAGGTTTCTCGGGCGAATTGCGGTTGCATGCCGTGTTGAACGCGTAGGTATGTAAGTCGGACGCATGCTTACTGGTATCTGTCTCAAAATAGATCTCCAGAGGGGCTGGACGACATCGAGAGTCCATGAACGCCGCAGGAAGTCACGCCAAGCTCGAGTGTTTTGCGTGGCGCACATAGCCGAGAGTTTCCAAAAATAGGTCGTATGGAACCACTCACACGTACACACGAGACACTGCTTTCTTGGAGGGTACAGTCAGGTGTGAATTGTCAGCATGCCTGAATATCTGGAGAACAGGCGTTACGTGGGACTGAATCCTGATTCAGGATACTTTTGGTTTATAGTATAAGGGCATAAGGTAAGTACCGTTATCCTTCTGTTCGTCATGACTCATAGACCCGAATTCAACCCAAATTTCCGTTAGTCCTCCCATGGTGCTAATTCTGCCCTCTCTGATGGCATAACGGGGATAGATCTTTGGCCAGGCCGCTCTCACACCGCAGCGACATGAAGAAAATCAAAGAAGTGATGCAGCAGAGATTTTCATTTGGCATCATACGCCTCCACGTCCACAAACTTATCACCCTGTTTCTACTGCAAACTTTTAAGTATGTTGCGTTGATCCTTTGCACGTAGTCTCTACTCACCACGAACTGCGGGGGACGACGACAGGCCCACAGAGCCGCGCCGCAAGGATCAACAAAAAGACTGACACTGTCTTCTGGATACACTAGAATTTCCGCCGCGACCGTAGTCCATCCTTCAAGCACGGCACTCACTGGAGATCTCGTTCAAGACGTGCTTCTGTACCAGGATGTTACGAGAGCTCTCAGCATATTATTGCCTTCAGGTCCTTCTGACCTGGGTCTTCGTCATACACGTATGGAGCTTGCGAAGCGGTAAGTATGCCGTTCCGTGTTCCATGGCGTAAGGGCGTTCTCTCTGAGATCTATTTTTATTCCGCCAGATTACATGGCATACATGCCTCCCAAGCTGCTGGCAATTATTGGCACTCTATCACCTCACCTCACCGGTCCGGTCCGTCTTGGCCTTTCTTGGACGCAGACAAGATCTCCATTTACGATCATTCAGTTCGGGTACTTAAAGGTCAGCTGTGAGGTACAAGTCGCCTTATTTCTATTCACCTCCTTCACGGCCAAAACTGTCCTGATTGCTGTGGCTTTGTACATATAGGTCGACCTTTGGGGCTCGTTATCTCCTCTTCGCCTCTAACCACGACCCCAACGTTCTGCAACTACCACCACCACAGGAAACGTCACAATTATCATGCCATCCGTGCGCCAGTTGATCTTTGTGACCACGAGACCCGCTGCTAACGACAATTCAATTCCAGTTCCTCTCAAGCTCAAACTCTACACCAGTAGGCAAGCGTGTATCGTCGTCGGCGAAGCTGGATGGGAGAGTGAGCTTCAGCTCTTCTAATACTTTGGTGCGTTACTCGGGGGCATTATAGGAGACCTCCCGCCCATACTGATACTCTTGGATGTATGGCCTTTACAGCGTGATGTCAACGTCTCTTTCCCTGCTGGATCAATGCGCACTTTGCCCAAAACTAATGAAGCTGTCCCCGAGGTGCGTTTCTTACATTCTCTATTTCTTTCTATTTTCTTTCTTCCTTTCCAGCGTATTCCCCTTTTACCCTTTTCGAAGTCTTTCCTTCGAACTTCTTTCCATCGCTGATCACATCACCGAGCCATTATCCTCGGCAACAGTGATAATAAAACACCCAAATACCTTCCTGCCTATGCACCTCCTAATCTATTAATAGCCATCTTTGAATCTGACTGATTCGACACTTCACTAACTTATATCCTGCTCGGCGCGGCCACAATATCTTGTACGATATAGGATGACATGCTTTCGCCTGAAGATCAGGCATGGGGCCGCCCGCCACCGACCAACTATAAATGGGCCATTCCGAAGTTCGCTCGGAAAAAGACGGCTGGCAAGTCCTAAGTTGAGGGAGTGGAAGGTATGTCGGCCTGGATGTTTCGAATGTCGGTGCATGTGCTTACTATTTTATCCAGATGTCCCAGAAGGTTCTCTGTCCTGGCCCCGTCTCCCGTGTCTGTACTTTGCTGCGTGCTAGTCGCTGAATAAATAGACTCAAACGTTGGACCTTTATTTCTTGATCCCCTCCATGTCCGAGGTGCTGCACGTCATGAACAAAACGACAAACGCACACCTGCACCAGCCTAAATATTTATTCATTCCATCCCGTGAGTGAAGTATTTTAAGCAGAACTTCGTCAACAGAATAGCCACTCTCATTCCGAAACAGCACATAATCTATCCTGTACTCGCCACACCACCAGACAAGAAAAGGTGGTGACACATAGAAGGTAGAAGGTAGTGAGCCTGCGGAGGTTGGAATGGGGCGAGGTCGATGGGTGCACTCCATAAATAACGCGATTTGAGAATAGATAGATTCGGGCGACAGAATAGAACAGGCCCCTCTCTCGCCGAGCATGAATGCTGAACCGCGGTCCATTTCATCCGAACCGTTGCTTCGCCAGCTGCTGGAACATATCCATCGTCGCCTGTGCGACAAACCAAGCGCACCCAACGTTTTGTATTTTGGAATTCGAGGGAAATAGCACAGGAGGGGAAGAGGACGGCCAAAAAGAAACATAAATTAGAACATGTCGGCAGAGGGAAGAAAAGGAGAACGACAAACTGACCTTTTCTTTCTCCTTGTACGCCGTCGCCCTCTCACGCATGGCTGTTTCCCGCTCTTCCGCCTTCTGGTTGTATCGGGATTTTGCCATGTCACGCCGTGCAATTCTGGAACGAAGGTTTTATATTAGCATAAGCCTGTGAAGGCCATAGCCTCAGGAAGAAAGAAGGCAGGGAGTAGGCGGAAATGATAGGATAAAGTTTTATTCGAAAGGCAAGAGAAGGAGACACGCACTGGTCTCTGAAGCTGTCACCTCCACCAAGGAGTGTCGACTCATCCACCTCGAGCCCTTCGTCGCCCTTCTCTCTAAATGCTCTATCGTTCTCTCGCCTCATCTTCTTCTTCTCCAGCATCCCCTCTCGCCCGACAGGTTTAGGACCGACTATATCCTCGACCCTCTCCTTAACCTCCTTCTTGTCACGTTTCTTCTTGTGCGCTCTTTCCTCTTCCCTGCGCTCGGCGTCGAGCTCGCGGGCAAGTGTTAGGTCCGAGGCGGAGGGCATCGCTGGACCTATGACCCGGCCTGAGCCACTTGACCGACTGGGGCCTGCAGATGGGGTTTCTTGCCCGTAGGTCGCTGCTCCGATTTCCGCACGGGCGGCGCGGAGGGCATCGTTGTCTTCACGACTTCTCTTGGAGGCGAAGGACCATTTGTAGGATGTATTTGTGGTAGCAGGTAGAGAGCCTGGTGCTACCCCGTCATAGTATGTTTCTGCAGAATGTGTCGGACGAACGAGAGCGACAAAAGAGTGCAAATGGTGGACGAACTTGAGAGTTTTCCTCGGTTCCAGGCCTTCGACAAATTGTATTTAGATCCAGAGAGTTCATGTCGTAGAACACACCTTCACGAACTTGCGAAAATAACTGTCTTCTGATCAGACTTCAATTTGGAGAGCAAGCACCATGCTCACCTTCTAGCCTTGTCACCGGAGAGCTCGTCAAAATACTATAAAACAGCATAATTCAGGGCAGAAATTCTTTCATTTCCAGAATAATAGTCACCTTGCGTTTATCTTCCTTCAACCATAGCCTAAATTCGTCGCTCTTCTGAAAGTAATCCGACTCGCTGATCGTTGAGACGCCTTTCGGAAGTTCGTAGCGCCTTTCTGGTGATTCTGAGCGGTTTCTTGAGCGAGACCTGGACCTTGAACGCGAGCGACGCGATGGCATCCTATTATATATAAAAGAGCTGAGAAGCGCGAAGTCGAGGTTGGCGCCGTAGGGCACAGTGAAGCAACAGTGAAGAGGACGTCCCGAACGTCCGAGTTCGGCAAGAGTTCGTTGTGGATTATTTGGCCGATCCGTTGCAAGATTAGGGGCTCCCAATCTCTCCCAGCGGTTGTTTCAAATGTTTGTCATGGAAGAGAGAAATGAATATCTCCTTCCCTCCCTCCACAATCTGTCCCCCCAAAGCCTCGGATTGTAACCGGGAACCCATCGCGTATATCAGCATTCGTGCGGTCGTTGCTGCCTTTGGCTTCTCAAAAGGACAAGCCTGGAGCAATCGAACGCCACCTCCCAGCGACGGCTAGGACTCGTGGAACGAATCCCTCTCCTATCTACCATGAACTACAGTGAAGGCCTCCAACGTTTTCACGACCTCCACACGCACTTGTGGGGCCGAAACGTAATCGAGGATGTTCAGGAAGGTGGAAAGAGCTATTCTACTATCGACCTCACACTCTTCGACCTCCCACAAAACTCTTGTCTCAGCGACGTCGTTCTCGTCCGTAACGAGTATAGGCTTGCCTACGATAGCATTCTTGCGGACACGCTTCAGAACACTGGACATCTCAAATCTACCTTCCTAGTAACAGGTCAACCAGGAATCGTTACGTCCAGTCGACTACATACCCCCTGAAGCATCAACTAATGTGACTCGACAGGAATATCATTGCTCTTGTTCTACATTTTGTCCCGTAGACTCGAAGAACGGCAGCCGGTCGCTTTCCAGATCGACGCTAGCATATTCGTCCTCTTTGACGAAGGCGGCGTATCGTTTCATCCAACATCCGCCTTGTTCACCTGTATTATTCCAAATGGCGCTTGGGCACTCTCAGATGCGGTCCAAGGACAAACCGGGCCTTGCGCGGCCTTCGACTGTCAACGGGTAGACGTCGTATACACAAGCTCGCCAGCTTCTAGAAACTGGAAGGGGTGGGTGAAGCAGGCTTTCGTTGTGGAGTACATCATGGACATATGGTCGCTGGAGGAGCTTCGAACATTGCTGTATGTGGTATTTTTAACACCATTATTCCACTGACACGTTGGTACCAGGACTATCTCCAACCTCGATGTCCAGCGGGGTGAGGCACTCTTTCGAAAATACGGACCATATGTGGCATTGTTTTGTCACCACTGACATGTTGGTACCAGGGCTATCTCCAACCTCGATGTCCAGCAGGGTGAGGCCCTCTTTCGAAAATACGGACCGAGCCCCAGCATCATTGTCGCCATTCTCCTCAAACCGGAGATGGAGGCCGCATACCTTCGCGATATCCAAGCAGGGCCCGTCGAATTGGCAGTGAATTTCTCAACAGTTTTCTCAGACATACGAAAATTCCATTTTGATTCCCACCTTTCTTCGACAATATTTATTGTCCAGGTGGACATTTCAGGTTCGCGACAGCCTGTTCTGCGCATCCCAACACCATTTCTCGCCAGCACCATTGCCCTAGCTTTGTCACGTCAGACAGCTGCCCAACAAGCGAACTTCTTCGCCACACTCGGGCATCATCCGTCTGTTTGCAGTGCCGCGGCATGGATCTTTGAAAATTACGCTCACGTCTACTTCTCCGACCCAAATCGCAACCCCCTTCAAGCACGTCTCCGCGATGACTCAAACCCCTACTCCATACCTACCCCCGGTAGGATTATAGCAGGTTTGACCGCACTGAAAGCTATTCAGCCACCGTTCAATTTCTACTGGCGGCCCCTAGATCCCATCTTCAATGGCGTCAATGGCGTCGTTCGCGCCGGCAACAGTATTTGGGCTCTACAATTCACGACGAGTGATTCTCTTAGTTCCATCACAAATGGCCTGGATGCGGTTTTCGAGATCATGCATGACAAGGGCGATGTTCGGTGGCATTTGGTTATTGTAGACCCAGATTTGGGCGAAGCCGAATTTGCTAGGGATCACCAAACGGTCCAAAACCTGACTGGGCGATGGGGCAAGACGCCCGTTTATGCGTGTGGGCTGCCCCTTGATGCGTTTACTGAAAAGGACCAGCGGCGGCTTCAAGATATTTCAGACGAGGTGGGTACACATAGCAATCACTCCATTATTGTTATTCATAAACTTCGACGCACGAACAGTTCAGCGAAACATACCCCATGGATCAAAGAGTGGACTCGGATGGCGTTCTGTGATATGGCAAGCAAGAACTTAGGGTGAGGAGGGCGTTGAAACCGAAAAGTTGCGCCGAACTTTTCGGCCAGAGTGTATTGTTGCTTGCTTGTCAAAATCCTTAGTCCCCTCGGCTGCTCGGCGATAGGGCGCACTGCTTGGAACAACACAATAATGACTTTTTCTTCTCCTGCTTTTCGTCGCCAGCCTGCGATCTGCAAAATGCCGACTTAACGCGAATATTTACGTTCTCTATGCTATGGAACGTAAAAGACGTGTTTCATAACCCCGGACCTTTGGCACATCCGGCACCACCGGATCGAGGGGCGATGCACGTGGGTCATTTTTTTCTCTTATCTACCTCGCTGACCCACCCGGCGGTCATTTCAGCTTTCTCCTCCCCTCGTTCACTGCTTTCACGATGCCTGTTCTCGTGCTCTAGGCTTGGGTACCGAAAGACCCTTGCCACGAACCCCCATAGACTCTAGAAAATATAGAAAAACGAAGACGACCCACGAGTCAAGACATAAGTAGAAGATACTCAACCATAGAAGTGCCCCGGAATTTCTTTTCGTTTGGATTTGGGATTATTCTTACAGCAAGTCAACCTACGCTATTTCAGAAATAAGTTCAACACAATGGGCGCATACAACGATACAACCTGCGCTCACGACAACCCATGCGCCATCCCGACGGCACCTACGCTCTCTCTGCCTCCCCTCGGACGTTTAGCCATGCATTCGACGGAGCAAATCAGGCTGGCCCTCTACAATTTACGCAACCTCTACTTTCACCACACCCTTCCCGACTCCTCAGCGGTCTCTGGCCTGATGTTGCCCAAACGGACGATCCAGCACCTCATCCACGACACCTCCGTCCCTGATTCAGGTTACGCCTCTGCAGAAGATGAAGACGACGAAGAATTCAACGCGACCTCCGATTCCGACACGGAGATAGAGCTGCTTCGTGCAGACCCCCTTGAACATGCATTCGCAATCAAGTGGGTAACGGGTTTCGTCGCACGTTCTGATGTTTGGGTTTCTTGCAATATCGACACTGAATGCGAGGAGAGAGCGAGCCTCCTCGAAGATGCAGTTAACCTCCTTTCTGCTTTCATAGGCAGTGAAGAAGAGGACGACGTGGCCTTCACAAGATCCTTTACATTCCCCTGCTCGCTCGGAGACACCAAGGAGATCTATGTCGAGCTTAATGACGCCCCACTCTCGAAGGATGACCACACCTCTGTCGGGCTGCAGAGCTGGGGCAGCGCGATCTTGTTCGCAGAACGGATCTGTGCCAACCCCGGCACATTTTCTCTACCTCCGCCCCTTCAAACAGCTGGCAAACCCTTACGAATCCTTGAGCTCGGCGCCGGAACGGGCATGCTGAGCATCGTCGCTGCGAAGATCCTCCATTCCTCAACATCGTCTGCAAAGATCATTGCAACGGACTACCACCCCGACGTCCTGACCAACCTCTCCAAGAACATCGAGACGAACTTTCCTGCTCACACCTTCATCAATGTCAAACCCTTCGACTGGGAACACCCAACTTTCAGGTCGCCCTTCGACCAGCCGTTCGACATCATCCTCGCCGCGGACGTGATCTACCATCCATACCACGCGCAGTGGATCAAGGCATGCGTCGAGAGGTTGCTTCGGCACCCCAAAGCGCCTTCGGTTAATGATGAGGAAGAGGATGAGGGCGGGGTGTTCTGGTTGATGATACCCGTCCGGACGACGGGTCGGCACGAGGGTATGGCTGGCACCGTTGACGCTCTGTTTCCTGATGTGTCGGCGGTGGGATGTGTAGAGGAAGGGGATGAGGATAAGAAGGGGCTGAGGTTGGCGGTGCTTCATCGTCAGGATGTGGGTCGACAGGGCAGTATTGGGAGAGCAGACGAGGATGCATATAAGCTATTTAAGATAGGTTGGGTCAATTAAATGTCGATTCTTGTCGGCGATTTTTTTGATTCCGCCCAAGCTGACCTTGCGAACCGAGAGGGGTTTCCATTGTCTAAGGAGGTTCCCTCTTGTAAGCCTGGACCATGGTCACTAGTCAAGATCCAGAAGATATCATCCGTCGTGAACACTTCGCTATATGCACGTCGGCCATGGCCTTGGAGAGAAAGAAGGCGGGGAAGTGAATGAAAACGATAGGATAAGGGTTTATTCAAAAGCAAGCGAAGGAAATACGCACTGATATTTTTGAAGCTATCCCTCAATAAGAAGGGTCGAAATGTCAATCATAAGTCCCTCTCCCCCTCTCTTCCAATACGCCCTATCCGGGTCGTTCTGCTGCCTCTTCTTCCTCTCTAGCATACCCTTCTGTCCGACAGGTTTTAGGCCGACCATATCCTCGATCACCTCCTTCGCCCCCATCTGGTCGCGTTTCCTCTTCCACCTCCCCGGGATTGGGCGATAGCTAAGTCTGAGGTACTGAGCATTGCTGGCCCCGAGACGCGGCCTGAGACGCTTGGTCGGCTGGGGCCTGTAGCGGAGGGGGAAGCTTGTCCGTAGATTGCTCCTCCGACTTCTGGTGTTACTCCATCATAATACGTTCCTGCAAGATTTGTCAGTTTAAGAGAGATTTCATGCAACGGAGTAGACGTGCTTGGGGTTTCATGCCTTTGAGATGATATAGAAGATGCGCGGTTTCTTGCCTCAATAGACCTTCACGAACTTGCGGAAATAACTGCCTTATGATCAGACATTAACTTGGAGAGCGAGGAAGCTGCTCACCTTTTGACTTTGTCCTCAGATAGTTCATCGAAGTACTGCAAAAGATTGCAAGTCAGCGTGACTCCAGTTAGAAGTTTCGTCCACTTTGAGGATGATACTCACCTTGCGTTTCTCCTCCTTCAACCTCAGCCTAAGTCATTGCTCCTCTGAAAGTAATCAGACTCTGATGGTTTTCTCTTTGCGAGTGCAGGAAGAGACGGGGGCGGTCTTT